TGTACTCTATGATATGAAATAAATGCCATGTAGCTCAATTTTTTGTTGTTTTTTTTTTCAAAATTTACAAATATTAAATTTTTGTAACTTGACTTACATAGTTTATATTTACATTAGCGGCGATTTGTTCACATTAATATATTTCTGAGTACACGTGCTTTAAAAAAAGTCAAATACATTTTCTCGAAAATTCAAGTTTTCTGTGAAAACTAGCTCAAAATCCCTGTTTTTGAGAAACGTTGAAACGCCATAAACGGCTCCAAAGTTTTTCTTCAAACCTTTTGAATAGAGAGTGCTAATTGCACTCCTTGTCCACAACGTAAAGTTTATTTTTGGGTACATTTTGTTACATCAAAAATTACAAAAAAAAATATTTTTTTAAAGGTGTCTCGCACCATTAATATGCACATTTCTAACGATTTGTAAACACTATAGTATGTATATGTGAGTTAAAATTCTTCAAATTACTCCTAATGAAGTTATTGAAAACTCAAAATTATGTGTGAAAAAGAGCTCAAATCTCGAATTTACAGTAGGGCTCGGACGCTATTTTCTTAAAGATAAGGCCGCCACGTCCCCGTCGCATGGAGGCGCCGCCAACAAGTTTCCAAAGATTCAAAGGACGCCACGACGCAGTACTCGCGGTTGGGGTTGGGGCGCCTTCCCGCGTCGCCACACCGGGCGCTTCCGACCAGCGGCAGGGCTCTTCTGTCCATTGAAAGCAGTGCAGCGGTGGCGACGGGAGAAGGGCTCCTTAGACCCGATGCCGCGCGACGGTCGAGGCTATAGTTTTTTCTGAAAACGGGCGTGGGCGTATTACTATAAAAAGACACGTCTACTTGTGCGAAGGAAAGACCGTTTGAAGCCTCCTCCATAAATTTGCATATCAGCGATTCGTAACGCGCATTTGCGCGTCGGCCAGACGGTTCTTTGAAAATATTCTGTTATTTTTTTCGAAGCTCGCCGCATACGCCGTTAGACCATAGCTGCGTCGAATTTCACTGACCGAGAGGACAGAGAGGCGTACCCCGCCTCCGCGTATGAGCCACGTTAAACCGCTGCCCAAAAATGCAAGGGAAATTGCTTTGTCGCATGAGCAAGATCGCCCCGCAGCAGCTCCCAATGGCTGATTTTAGGCACCCAGGGCGAGGCACTCGGATCAGACGAGGGGAGTGAAGCCTTCGTTCTGGCGCGTGGGAGGCTCCGAATCCATTCCGTTTCTGACTTCGAAGAGGTACTTGGTGTCCGTCTTGTCCAAGACACACTTGGTTTCTGCTTCAGGCACTCCGTCTTGTAATTACTTGGTTTCTGCATCTCGAGCATGCGTCTCGAACTTGACTTGGCACTTGTAAATTTACATATCAAAGTGGCACTTGTAATGTCTTGCGTTCTAGCTTGAACTCGCAATGAATTGCTGTACTGACTCGCACTAGCATGACCTTTCAGTTTATTGCCGGCACTAGGATCGTGCTAACAACTCATGAGCTGACGCCAAGTGCGTCCTTTGTCCTGCCTGGTGACGAGTGAGGCCGGCCGATGAGTGGCGCTGGCTGTGGCCGAGTGTGGGGCGCGCCGCCTCTCTCCGCTGCCCGCACGCCCTGCCGGCGCCCAGCCGCTCACGAACGAACCGGAAGGGTTTGGAGAATGGCCCTCACTGTCCCTGTCATCTCAGCTTTCCCGCTGAAAGACGGAGAGACTGCTCAACGAAGGAAGCTGGGAGACTAAATGCCACCAATACAGCATATTATTTGCAACTGCATAATTAATTATTTTTCGTTGTAATCACGCCAATGAAACTAGTAAGCCGCAATATAAAAAAATCGTAGTAGTAATTTTGTAAATTAATTCATTTGCATACTCATCATTATCATCATTTTAAAGTTAAATTAAATGTGTTGTGAAATTAATTCTGTGCGTGTTTTATTGAACACGCAATCCCGCATCCAAAGAATGTCCTGGCATTACATAACTATTAACAATACATTACATTACATAACTATTAACAATATCCCGAGAACGTAAGTGCTGTTGGACCACCGCCTAGTTTTATCCTGCTTTTTTCCCAATCTTCATCACTGTATTTACGAGCCAATTCAGAGCAACAACTGATCGCTTTTTGAAAGGAGTAACAAGGGCCCACCATTGGTTTTTCTCTCTCAAAGTAATTACGAATATTTACACAATTGTCGCGAATTGTCCGTTCAGAGGGACACCTCGAACGGATTTGCTTCACGAGATGAATCCTCGGGCGGCCCACCCCGCGCTTGTCACTTTCTTCTGACATGGCAGAAGATCCAGCACTATCGAAACGATACCAATAGGCAATACAAACGATAATAAAACAGTAATAAAACCAACGATAACACAATAGCAATAATAAACAACGATTACAAGGAACGTTAAAACAATTACATAAGAATAAATCTAACAATGCGGCTACATTAACACCAGAACCCGCACGCGCTATGCACTTTAAACACACAATACTCTCACTCGGACTACGCCAGCTGGGAAACCAGGACATTTCGAGGCACATGCGGCTGCTGCTCCCAACAGATTGGCATAAAGGACGTTTCCCACTTCCCATCGAATGACGCGAAACGTAATTCCCAAAATGTAAGCAGTTCATGCAAATTATTCAATCTAAGTTAAAATAAACTCTAAATTGAAACATTACCTTACACAATTTTATTGCATAAGTGGGCCCGTGTCACTATTTCCGCGCAAGTGGTTCTGGCATTGATTTCCCTGGGACAATTATTTTTTTGGATAGGTCCTGCATTTACGCAACTGACCGATAAAAACAAAAAAACATTCATACAAAACAAAAAATAACTTGGTTTCTACAATACGGTGATCGCACTCCAGCACTTTGCAAAAAAAACACTACTGCTTAGGCCCGTTTTTCACAAAAGAATTTTACTTCGAAAATTCATCTACTCTGGTACCATCTTGTAATAAAGATATTCCACACACACAACATCGCTCGCAGGCTGTAACTGCAACCGAAAATACGCAACCACCTTGAGATAACGGACTCATAATCAAATGTACATTTTGAATCAAAAACCTATCAAATAAAATAAATACTTCAGACATTGTAAATAATGCATTCAATACCGCCAATCATTGACTGAACCTGTTTTTCAAACATTTCAAAAACACGCGAAATTTATAAAATGAAGTTATAGCGAGTGTCAGACGAATATACAAAATTGGGATTCCCCTACGGGCAACTAGCATCCGAACCTTCCACCCGTGCACTAAATGCAATAAGAGAGAGACAGTAAGTGCGTAGTAGGGCTTGGGCTCTTGCCTGCGCTCGTTGGGCGTTCTTTGGTTTTAAAATAATTAGACATACATCGATATTGCGGCAATATTTTGAATATTGAATGTCATTAAAACGAGAATGTATACTCCTAACATTTCTTTTTTTATATTATTATTATTATTATTATTATTATTATTATTTATTATTATTATTATTATTATTATTATTATTATTATTATTATTATATTATCTGGGGATTGTGCAACCTAAGCAAGAGCCGCACTGCGAGGCCACACAATTTATTTGTGCGTTTCTAATTTATTCGGACCATATGACATCAAAAGACCAGATTCCATATGACAGTTTTAATCTAGAAGGAATTCCGATGATGATGATGATTGATGATGATGATGATAGATGATGATGCATGATGATAATAATAATAATAATAATAATAATGAACATTAATGTTGTTTACGGTAGTATGCTCGATAGATCGACTTCTATGAAGTACCTCCGAAAAGTACTTAAAATGAAAGCAAAATCTGTTCAAGATAAGAAAATAATTGACCTTTACCAGCCTAAGTTTTGTACAACAGAAATTTAAATTAGTAGTCTCTTATGGAACAACTTTCACATTCACGTTTTTTTGTTTTAAGTTATTGAAGAAATTATAAGGCAATAGCACTTTTTTCTTTTATTCAATACGTAGTTATTTTCTTTAGAAATCAAATGGTATTAAATATATCATACCTCAAGGTTACATCATAGCTAAGGAGTAATTGATAAAAAAAAATGCTGCGAAATTCATCGCAACCGAAGTATGGCTCTCGGCCTACGAGTTATGCAATACAAATCATGCTATCAGCCTCTCACTTCTGTTTTTCTTAGGGTATGAGAACACCATCCTATACATGGGTTTTTATTTCTTGGCGCGAAGCCTTGTCGTCACAATCTCACGGTATTTCGCGTCTTTCTCGGTCATGCCGCTAGATGTCGCATGACCGCGACTTTATTAAGCAGTGCTGTCGATCCAGCGACATCTAGCGGCACCAAGAGCACGACCGAGGAAGACGCGAAATACAGCGGGATATTCCATCTTAGAGACAAAGCCTCGCACACCTAGAAATGAAAAGCCAAAAATAACTTCAAATTTTGTACCACACACTACTTGAGGATAATTCACTTTCAATTAAAGCCATGTGGACTAATATTAACCGCAGAAAGAAAGAAAAGTACGAACGCCAAAATCAACCTATTAGAAATTGCCAACTTGTGAAAATAAAAAATCATGTGAGATCAAAATTAGTGGTAAACATTTATTTTCTAGAGCCACTATTCAATACTTCTATGTTCAACTATTGACAGATAATTATTTAAATGCTCTGTTCATGTTTGGTAGCAACCAGCTTGTGGTCGTGTTTTGACGACGACAACAACAACAATAATAATAATAATAATAATAATAATAATAATAATAATAATAATAATAATAATAATAATAAATGGCATGACCATATCACCTTAATATGAAAAATTATTATTATTATTTTACACATCAACATGAAATTAAACAAATTTTTAAAATTATACATAATAAACAATTATAACACAAAAACATTTGTTCAAAATAAGATAATATATTAGTTTTGTTTATCAGTTAAGATTTGAAAACATTTTGATATAGTCTTACCCACTAGGCTAATATTAAATTCATTACAAAAATAATTTAAAAAGACAATCTTACCATTGCATAACACTTCTTGGTGACAACATCATTAGAATTGCCCCATACAGTATATTCCTCTCTATTGAACTGAGTAATAAGTTCAGAAACTTTATGAATAAGTCTGTCATCATCAATTTTGATATCAATATTGATAGGAACATTTGGGAATTGTTCAAATACATCCCTCAGTAAAGCGAATTTCCGTTCTTCTTCTTTCCCTGAACCAATGAAGTGATGACCTAAAATAACAAGTAAAATACAGACAAAAATAAAATTAGAAAATAATGCATACCCCAATGAGTGCAAAAAATCACAAAATGTGTTATGTTCTAGTAACATACTGGTTAAAATCATCAGATGCATGTACTAGTCAATTTTACATAACATTAGTCATACATCGTAAACTATTCCCTCATGCAAGACATTCTTACTGTATCTATCGTGGAATACAATTACATTACTTGTTACACAGAGCAAAAATTAAAGCAAGTGCCACTACAAAACTCAATGAATTTCAAGGCAAAGGGGAACCAAAATTTCTATTACTTCTTATTGATCTGGCTAGACTCGCAAGCATGCATTAGTTACAGCACATCTCAATCCTAACAAAATAAAGCTAGAGTAATCTTTACCAGGATCAAAATCTAGTGGCAGTTCAGCTTTGAGCAAAGGCAGGTCTTTGTAGTTGAGTTGAGATATGTCACAATCACTGCCCGTACTGCGCAGCAAATTGTGATCATGAGACACAACTACGTGCTCATCCTTCGTCAGGTGGCAGTCTAGTTCTAACATGTCTGTGCCAAGCTGAAGAGCTCTGAAAAAGTAGTAACCATACCAGCCCAAAACAAAACAATGCTTACTTTGCATAAACTACTTTCTACCAATAAACAAGGAAACCTACACTGGGATGAATTCAAACATTAGGAATCAAACCATTAGAATTTGAATATTCAGTGAATAATGAAAAATTGGTTCAGATGCAAATTATTCAATACATCCATTCAGTACACACGAATTTACAATTACAGAATTGTCAGAAAATTTAGGGGTTAATATTTTTTATCTTTACCTATTTCAACCAGATCACATCAAATAGAATGGGTTACAGTTTTACAAACCTTTATTACATAAATGACATAGATATTATTAAACAGATATAATATTTATTGTATAGATGTAAAAATTATAAAGAAACTTAATATTTGCCAATTTTGTTTTGTATTATTAATACTAAATATGCCATGACACATAAATTGATATTAAATGTTTCACTTTTACAAATACTTTCCTTTATGTTTTTTTGATTTCAAATGTAAACAAAAACTATACATAATATTAGACCCATCAAAAAAAGGCTTTGAAAACCTGTACATAGACTGGTACAATTGGTTTTAATACTTCTTTGTATTCTCATTTCAGAGCCTGTGTCTATTTCTAAGTCTGTCTGTGTGTTTTTTATCATCTGACTTCACTAAAGGGTGTGGGGTCCTACATTTTCTGGGAGTAAGGTAGTTAAAAAATTGGGGTTAAGTATCACATCCCAAGGAGGTGGCTGGGTTAAACACTGCAGCCATCACAAAAACAAACAAAAAAAAAGGGATAAATAATACAATAAGAAACTGAAAACTCTTAAATACAATTTCTTTGCTGAACATACAAGAAATGGATTTTTAAATTGATTTTCAATAAAATGCTGCCACCGAGCTTTCGCTAGGCACAAGTCTGGAGATGTAAGTAAAAATAACATTTCATATAAACATGATGCAGCTTTAGAAAGCATCATTATCAGAACAGAAACCAACAAAAGTACAAATGCAATAAGAACACATTTGTCATATTTTTATAATTAAAATAAATATGAGTTGTTTTTTTTTTATTTCAGCAATGGTTTTCAAGAAGTCTGTAACTTTAAATGTATTAAAAACAAAACAATGGTTTTTCACTAGAAAAAATAAATACAATTTTAAAGACACTCTAATTAAGAAATAAATGTCTTTATTTTAAGCTCATAAAAACATTTTAACTATGTCACGAGTATGTCAATGAATTCAAAACAGAAACAAAAACTGTTGTTTTTTTTTTCCAGAACCCTGGTAAAGAAATTTTAAACAATAATGTCACTTATTTTCAGTAATTGATATTACTGCTACAGATTACCAAGAATAGATAGAAAAAGGTAATACAGGTGAATTATGTTTCAACAGAATTCTCAAGAAATATACAATACTTAATTTGAAAATTACTGAATTCATTTTAAAATAATACAGAAGATAATTATAGGGTTCTAAGATTATAAAAGCAATAATAAATACTATACTCTTTATTGAAATAATATTTGTATTACTCATCTATATAGTAATGAACATTCACTATCTTCAACTGATATGAAAATTATTATTTATTGTAAATGTATAATAATCAGCAAAATTAATATAAAATGGATACTTCTGAAACAAAGACCATTGCTCAAAAATAGTAATACAACTACAAATCTTTGTCAATGTATACAATTGGAAGAAATCTTGTGAAAGTTAACAATCTGGTCTAAATGCAGAATAAACAGGCACTAAACTTAAGACATCATAATACCATTATCTTTATTTCTCAAATGACATGCTTTAGGTGAACTAATTTCACAGTCAAAAGACTACTACAAAAAATATGCTGTATCATATACCCTAGCACCTACAGCATTAAATAATTAAGCAATAGTTTTCTCATATGCCAGATAAACCCAATAACCAAGCAATGCAATATTTTGAAGTATATTTAACACAGACAATTTAAAGATTTTATTACATTATTCTAAATTAAGTTAATGGAAAATGAAGGAAAAGTTAATGAAAATTTGAATTTTTAACAATGCGAATAATTAACCAAGTACCATACAAGAAATGAGTATTGCACCCACAATTATTTTTTCCTTAAAATTTGATTGATGGTTTTGAATGTGGATCTTACAGAAATACTTAGAGGTGAATTGGAAATGCATTATCTCACCTTTTAAATGCAATCATGGTATTTTCATAGTTTTCACCAGCCCCTGAAAATACAAACTTTTTATTATGAAAAGAAAATTCATTTGATGCATATTTCCAGAAAAAAATCATGTAGGCGTACTCAGGTAAATTGAAGCTTTATCCTCCACCTAATAGAACAACAATAATAAAATCTAACTAGAAGTGTAGGGGATAAAAATTATTTCAGCTCACCTCCTCGGTGACTGATGTGTCTGCATCTAAATTTAAGTTTTTTTCTCTTATGTATGAGATTTGGGTACTTAAAAACTAGCAACGACGCTATCACATATCCGCCGAATAATGCAGCGACAACCAAACCCATAATGCTTCTAATCACACGGCGAAGTAATCACGCAACCGCACTCAAGTGCAAAATCTGCTGCGTCTGCCTGTGCTGAATATATGAAACTAAATTGATTATTGCGCATGTGTGGGAGTGTGTGTGTGTGCCGTTCGCTAGCTTGATTACTGAATATTATTGTTCAATGATTTTTTTCTCCATAATTATTGGTACCAGTGAAATGCACATAATTTTGTAATAATACCGGGCTTTTACCGGCTTCTCTCAGCAGTAAAAATCAATATCAGATAGTTATAATTCTGTCTGCGCTTCCTGCGCATGTCGCGCAAGTGTCAGCGGTGTCAATGTGGTGGGTAGTTGCACACGAAGCAATCGTGGGGCGTTCGTAATACTTCGTGGACTCTCGCCATCAACCGAACAAACTTCGCGCATCGCGCGGGCGCGCGTAGAAGGCGTTTTTGGCTTGGAATTGGATGCTCTTGGCAGCAGTGGCTGTGGTGCTCCCCCCACTCCGTTTCTATAATCCTGATAGTCGTACGTTGTTCTGTTTCTAATTCGCAGACGTAAAATACCGGCGGTTTGCCTGCCCTGTGATTACTCAGAGTGGTAAGTAAATATTTGATTTCAGAAAGCTAGTGTAATATTTAATTAATTTGTGTTGTTGTGTTCCTACATATTTTCGTAGTTTTTACATAAATTGATCTATAGGCATTGACCGGCATGGAAGAGAAATCTTGTAAACGAAAGGGTGTTCTTGTATGTAATTATACGTATTTTAAATTAAGCCATAACTTGATAATTAGTAATTGTATGTTTCTTAATTATCTTTTCTGAACTACAAGAAAAGTAATCGCGTAGCTTCAAATCACACTTTCAGACATTGTCGCTGTAAAGATGGCTGAGGAAGAGGCCGCGGGGAAAGCGCAAGAAGCAATGGAGGTAGATGAAGGGCAAAATAAAAGCGATGATTTGAAAATGAATGGAAATGTTGAAGAAGCGAATGAAGTAAAAAACGGAGTAGAAGATGAACCAAAAGTAAATGGTGAAGAAAAGAAAGATACCAATAAAGTAACAGGGCTTTTCAAAGTTAAAGTTAGCGGTTTACCAAGATTCTATCCTTTAGGGGTAAGTATTGGGCCATTAATAAATCACGTGACAATATTTGTGGTATTTAAACAATACTCTTTTCAGGAGTTCAAAAAGCTAGTGAAAGAAGAACTGGGACTGGCATTAAATTACGTTCGTTGTCCAAAGAAAGGAAATCCGTGGCTCCACTTAACCTTCAATACTGCTGAGGAACAACAAAGGGCTCTCAAAGCTCTTCATAGATATACTTGGAGAAGAAAAACTCTGAGTTGTAATGTAAATATTTTGAAGCATTTTTTATAGTGTTTTTTAAAAATGTGTATTTATATAATTTTATGGAAATGTGACGTCCTTTGTATGTTTTATTATTACAGATAGTCACAAACGATGCCCAGAAACGTAAACCTGAAGATGGTATGGGAGATGACAGTGATGCCAAGAAAGCAAAATTAGATTTGTCAGTGGATGAAAGAGTGTTAATGATTACTATTCCGTACCATAACATTCCCTATGAAGAACAGGTTAGGTCTATTCTCTCATTTTGATACATAATGCACAAATGGTTTGGCATTTCTTTTCATTACTACCTTCTGCTTGATTTCTTTTTAATGTTTGAAAGAGCATGTATGTTGTTTAAGGAAGTGTTCAACATATGTTGGTATGTGGAAATTAAATTTTACTATAAAAATATGAACCTTGGAGGGCATCATGGTGGGACAAAAATGGTAAAGCGTGTTTTATCATTGTATTTCAACTGAATATTTGAGGGGTGGATTTAGACAAGTGTGATTTGAAGATGTCAGGGTGCTAAATTTTGAGGAGGTGTCACGTGAGAGAAACATAACTTTATATGTTGAACTAAGGTATAAGATGGTAATATTTTATTGCATGGTTATTTGAGAGACGACTAGGAAACTTTCATATGTTACTTCTATTTTCATTGAAAGTTCACCATATTAACATACGTAACTGAATAATTCAAGGATTCAAACATTATTTGAAAATTAGTAGATAATTTCTATGTATTTTTGAGAGCTTGTCAAAAATATGAAAAAAAAACATCAGTACATGACTCTTTTGGCTAATTAGTGCCAAAGTAGTAGTATATTTTTAATGCTTGCCAAATTAAAATTTAGTTATGCATGGTACCTCTTATGGAAATAGTTTACCTCTTCACTACTGGCATTGGGTCGTAAGGAGCCGACCCTTCTGATTCAATAAAATGATATCCTTTGTATCGTTTTGGAAGATTTGATGTTTTGTGTGTGTGTGTATATACACACACAGTCATCAGATTTATATAAAAAATACAGTTAATTGACACTAATTAATACATACTACATAGCTGATCACAAGTGTCCACTTCAACTTTCATACAATTTCAATAGAGTTACAATTTGTAGCTTCTGCAGAGGGTCTGTAGGATCATCGATTTTCTTGGTGATGTAGAAATAACTAGATCGTGATTATGGCTGGTACGTAAGGTCATTGTCACCTCCTTTGTAAATCCAGAGAGACTCGAGTTTACTTCTCTTAGTTTCTTGGCAAGAATTATTGTTCTGTTCATTGTTATATAATGTTCCAAAAATGGCCAATTGTGCTTTCATCCAACCAGAAACAGTATTCACCTCTAACCTTCATTGAGTCATGAAGTATTGCTAAGGCGCCATGCTTTCACATCTGCCATATTCCCAGAAAGGCAAATGTAGAGAAACCGATTTGTCAGCGGCCTTTTTCATTGCATTGCCAATCTGCATCTGATTAAGAATGTTATCAGAAGAGATTTTGTGCAACCTACATCAGTGTTCTCAGAAAATAAGAGGAAATACCTTCAGGGCAAATTGACCCAGCACTAGTAGTTAAGTGTTAAAGAGGCAGGTTGTGTCGCTCAGGTGACAGGAGAGGCCTTTGATGATAAGAGGGAGTGTTTCATCTGTCATGATGTGTATTCAGTGTGTCCTGTTATGAAAAATTGTAAATGGATGTTTATTTAGTGGAATGTATTAAAACGGTAACATGCATATAATTGGATTTAGAAGAAGTAGGAAAGTGAGTGCTGTCCTGAAACAAATAAAAAATGTACCTATTTACTATCTAACAGGCTAAAGAGGTGATTTTTCCTATTAAATCTTTCATCAAATTGCGCTGGGTGTTTGTGGTATTTTGGTCAGTCTCGGAACTATTTATATTAATGACAAGAGCTGAAGACTAGTCTTGTCTTAGAATTGGAAATCTGTAGTGAAGTATAGACTTGTCTGACAATTTTAAAAAATGGTCTTAAAATATGAGAAATTGATAGTGAAGGTTGTAAAATGTATAATATGTTAGATGATGTTCCATTTATGTGTGATGTAAACTAAAAGATAATTTTTTGTGTTTCTCAAAAGGCAAGTTGAGTTATTTTAGACTTCATTTTTGTTATTGTTGATAATTATTTCTTCATTCTGTGTACCTTATCGTGGAATTCCACAAACTTTGGGCTGAAACCTTGTAATTGAAGATCTCGTGACGTCCCTCCTGTGTGAATACTAATTTCAAGTGTATTTCACACAGGAGATCTTTACGTTAAAGAACTGAGTGGTTGGGGGAAGAGCGAGGAAAATTATTAAGTATGCTCGTTGCAATGTAGATTCAATGTTTGTACCTTAACCATCACCACTTCTTCATAACTTTATAAGTGAGTGAAGGGGGGAGAGAGAAGGAAGATAGAGGAAGGGAGGTTGAGAGGCGCTTGTGATGCCAGCTGTTTACCATGGCTCCAATCTCTTCCTGCAGAGGCATCACGGCTCCTTCTTGGCTAATGATGGCTCACTGGCTGGCACAACTGTCAACGGCATGAGGGCTTGTGATGAATCTGACACTAGCAATGTCGACTAAGGACTGAGATTCCTGTCGCTTCATGCACACTGTATATATACGGTTTTGGTGTTTTTGAAAGTTCTCTTTAGAAGGTTGTGTATAAAATTGTCAAGGTGTTTTCCGCAGAGCTGTTTTTTTTCCAAGATGGAGATATTTCCCAATTGGTTTCTTGGGCTTTGGCCAAAAGTGCAAATGTATTCTTTAAAGCTTGAGTTTTCTTTTAATTTTTTAATATGGCTTGTCACTATCTAATGTCATAGAACACACAATTTTATGGTGCATATTCAATAACATTATACACAAATATGTTAAGAAAAATGATTTTGTGAATTATTTACTTCAGGTGTATTAAAATTTGACTTCACTTGGCCAAGAGAAGCTTTTGGCCTGGGTGGGGTGTAATCAGCAATTTTGCTCATTACTTTTGTAATATTTAGATCAGGCATGTGAAGGTTGCATGCAAGATATCAAGCTTACTAGAGCTCATAAACACTGCATCCAGAGAAATTGGCATGAGATTTAAAAGCAAGGGTTATATAAATGCTATAAAATGGTGGAACATCGCTGGATACATGGCCCATGACAATCTTGAGGAGACTTGACACAGGCTACTTGACAGTTACTGTGACAAATTTAGCTATATTAGTTACGATTTTCTCTTTAAGGCAAATAAACAATCCATTAACATGATTTCAAATTCTCAATTGAGAACTTAAAATGTTAAATTAAAAACTTTGAAAAGTATTTTGATTCTGTAATCTTAGTTTTCTTTAAGAAAAGAAAAAGAAAGAAAAGTGATTTAGAAGCATGAACTTTCTACTTTCAGATTAAAAGTCAGACAAATTTTGTCAATGAAAAGCACTATCCGCCCATAAGCAAGAATTGTTAACTTATTGGGGCTTGTTAATTTATTTCACAATATTGCTAAATACAATAAATGACTGAATGATTTAATAACACGACACGAAATGAAAACAAGGAAAGAATTTGCCATTCAAACATTATGGTCACTTAGTAAAGATGTATATATAAGGGAGAATTTGTAAGAAAATAAACAGCAAATTGTAATACCTAAGTCATGAAGAATTGAAACACAATACAATTCTCAGTTACTTAATAGAAAACATCTAACAAATGTATATTTGTATGCAACCACTTTTCAATGCCTCACACTGTTCCAATTTGCACATGTACACCCCCCTTCTGGATTTTAAAGGGAAATGCGTGTGCAGTAGAGAAGTTGCCTGTGCCTGGAGGAGCGCCGGCTTCCCTGGTGGGAATGTAGCATGTGCCGGTGCGTTTGTCGTGCCTGATTTAGATAACACTGAGGCTTTAGTGTATTAAATTGAATAAGTTTCTATGCTAACAAGTCTCTCTTTCAACATTGTATAAAATTGTTGGTTTAAGTTGGAGCTTTGAAAATCTAATTTTCCCTAATTTTACACATTAAACAAGAGTTCTCATGTAAGGGCAGGATTTTTCAATTTTTATGTATGAAGTAATACACTTAACTTGTGCAAAACATTCATGGCTTTACAGTATAATTTTGCATTTGCCATCTGTTTGTCATGCTTTCCAATTATATGATTTTTAGTATTGTAACGAACATCAACAATGTTTGGCACTTCTAACTTGGTTATCTTCTACCTAAACTTGGTCTACAATAATGTCCGTGACCTAAAAGATACATGACGCGAATTTGCCTTCTAAATTCAAAAAGCGGAGATTGTTTTTGTTATTCGTGTATATTATCCAGGCGTTTACAATACTTCTGTGTAGCATTCTTAAAAAAAGTGACCAGTACCATTTTGCCCCTCTAATGGAGGAACAGTGAAGTCTCGATATAAAGAACATTATTAAATTTCATCATTTTATTTATACTTTACACTGAAAAGTATTTGCCTTAAAATCCTTAATAGTGTTTCAAATTGTCTTGCTTTTACTTGTATCATTGGTCCAGAAACATGGACCCCACTAGACCTATCTTCCTTAAACCATGTGTCTACTGCCTATCCCACTTCATGAAAATCTCTTAAACAAATCTTTCAGTTGGGCCAGATCACCAGTAGTTCATACATTTTTAGAATTTTTTTGCTTTTTAAAATTGTTGAAACTGAAGTTGGCTTCGTTTTATATACACAAGCTATCAACTTCTGATGTCAGTTAATTTGTGTTTTATTTTTCTTCTCATTAAAGTCTTTTCAGATTTTTACAATAAAATTTTAGAGGTTTTAATTTTTGAAGTTTTGGTTTTCTATTTACAATGTATGTTAATAAAAATTCTGAAGGGATTACAGAAAGAGAAAAAAAAATTACGAGGTACTAATCCTTTTTTTATCATGCCTCTAATCCTGCTTTATTAACTATAATTGAGACTTGTGTAGTAAAAATATTTTTAATTAACAGTTCCCAATAACAGATTTGAAATAAAAGTTGGTATTGAAAATGAGAGATTCATGTGCAGGGTTAATAATGGGGTAATAAGAGTGCTAATATAATAGTAGTTTGGTGCCCAGGAAACACGTTCAAGGCATTACATACTGCATGTGAAGAAATCTTTCTGAGTAACATAACATGCCTGGAATGTCTATTTCATACCCCCACCATTCCCAAAGGAAACATTTTCTTAAAATTTCATCACCTATAATAAAAATAATGCTGCATATGCTTTTAAATGTTGATGTATATTCATATTTTAGGTCTGAAAGGCAACAAAAATTGTAATATGTAACTTATAAATCATGAGAGAAAATGTGCTGTTGTAGAACCACAAGTTACATTTTTGACCATGAAGCCACTTCAGGGCTACCTTCGGGGGACCAGCTGACTCCCTGATGTTTTGGGTTGTGTTCAGGTGGACTAGGGTTGGGCAAAATGCTTGAAAAATGTATTTCAAATACTAAATTCTCTGCCTAAAGTATTTTAGATACCAAATACAAAATACTTCCATAACAATATTTTCTATACAAAATACAAAACTCGACCAATGGTGTTTTATACATCATTGATGTCTATACATACTTTAGGTCTGAAAGGCAAATTGGTTAATTGTCCACGTCATGCATCCTGGAATTTCACGCACTAAAAAAGTTAAAAATATGCATTCAACCGTGCACTGAAAATGGACAGTATATACACTGAAAATTGACAATGTATGCAATTAAAACCAAGGATGTGTTAAACAAAAATTTAGTTGGCACCAAATAACATTTATTTGCATTATCTTAATTTATGTTGTAATACAAAACACCTATAATAAAAATATATTTTCAAACATGATAAAATAATATTAGGTGAGAGAAACCAATACCATTGTTATAAGATGCTGTAATATTGAGCCCTTTTAACTAAGTTCATGCACGTGGATAAAGTTTCAGGTAGTAAATCAATTCAAGAGAAAACAATCTTATCAGAAATTTGTTGGTATTCTAGCATTGGCATGGCTTGATTAATTTTCCTTTCGAAGGAGAAATACACAAAACTATCTGATTTCGACCCGTTCCTGCACAAAAACCTGGCATATACACACTTACATATGCTGTATAATTAAAAATATGCAGTTAAAGAAAAAATCTTGTTTTATTTTTAGAGATAGGGAAAGTTATACATTTCCTTTTGATAAGTGCAATAATTGCAATTACTTGCAATTTGCAAGTAAAAGTTTGCAATTGCGTGTAGTTCCATGGTCTACTTGTGACATGTACAGAAATTTGATCAGTTCTTTTCTTTCTGTAGCAAATGCTAATTAAAGAGGTAAGATGTACAATGCTATATCTAAATTCTCTGAAAAGTCATGAAGCTGTCCTTTAAATTACTGGTGTAATGCTTACTTTGAAAATAATTCTACAGACTTCCTATATGGAGTGTACATTGAACACTCTTATAGAGCTCCCGATGGATTAAGGTATAGTTTGTTCGTACACGTTCCCCCAAACCCAACTCGTTTACTCGTCCACGTTCCCCTTACCAAAAGTTTGAGTTATCAACAACATTCTAAATACTGCTGCAGGGAATGAAATCTAAGTTTGTTTTATCCAGGTTTGACTATAGTTAAATCAAAATTTGCAACAGTGGAAAGAAAGGTATTTTTGTATTTTGAAAATACAAAATATTGTCAGAAAGTATTTTTGATTCAAATATGTATTTTCAATACTGCCCAACTCTGAGTGGGACTCGGTAGTAAAAGGTACACTACACTACGTTTTACATTTGTTTTTATGCTCAATTGCGTGAAATAATATCTAATTATCACATACATTGGTTACTAATAAAAAAAAATACAAACATAGTAAAAAAGTAATATGACCTTTCCTTAAATGCAAAAAATTTTTTTTTTCTCTGTTCAGGCTTGGAGAATTAAACACAGAGGAGTTGTACAGAATGTAGATAATGACTACATGGAATGTTGTTTACATTGTAAAAGCTTTGAAAAAACTGAAATTTTGAACATTTATCTTGGGAAGTGAAAAAGTGAACATAGAAATGTTTTATTTTTTATATAACTGTGAACATTGTTAACCAGATTTTAAATATAAGTAGCTCTCTATGCCATTTTCCTAATTTTCATCACATACACCCAGTAAAATGATAAATTTGTTTTTCTGGATAGATCCAATTTTCAGTATTTTTTCTTATAACACTTCTTAACTCCAGATACCCCATCGTAGTGGATAGTCTTTATCACCAGAAACATTAAACCGGTACATATTGCAGATTTGTTAATGAAGTTGATCATTAAAGATGTGAATAACAATCTTTGGTTATGTAGATTTACCTGTAGGATGTGTAAGCTCATAGTTCAAGGCTCTGCAAAATGCTTCACGCAAGTCTAGATGAGCACAAAAAAGTACTTCTTGGTTTAATTTCAAAAATATGAAGTGATATTACTTTTCAGTTGAAAATAGTGAGGATTATTTCTGAATTCTAGCCCAATTAATTGTCCAAGAAGTTTTGATCATTATGTTACAGGAAAAGATAATCCAGAAAAGCAGGTAGAATCAGGTTTCTATCTTGCACAACTAGTTCCAAGATTAATAATAATTATTGTTGGATCCGTGCTACCATACACAAACCAAAAACTTCCCAATAACAGATCATATACAAATGAAAGAATGCTGTAAAGCCATTATAACCAACTATATTAACCCAAATATTTTTATGTACTAAGTTGTGTTCAAGTGAATTGAGAGAGTTCAGAATTCGTAACAAAAAATTAAAATTTTGTTGGTGAAGGGCATGGAGTGAGGTCGGGGAGTTCTGAACTACGAATTCAGTAACTAACCATCAAACAAAATTATTTATAATTCGTTTCCATTTGTTGTAGCTTAAAAAGAAAACAGAAGAACTGCGAGCAATGGTGCAACGTCTTGGGGAGTTAGTTGTCCGCCAGAACCCAGCTTTGGCAGGATGGGCTGAGCAACAGCGGAAGAAAAACGAGGGACTTGTTTTCCGATTGGAGGAAATTCGACCATCACCAGTTGTTGATGCATATCGTAACAAATGCGAGTTCAGAGTTGGTAAGAAATGTTTGTTTAAAATCCTAAAGTTAAATAAGTTCCTTATGTACTTCTAAAAGTGATAGATATACAAATGAAATTGTGCATGCGGTTGTTGTATTGATAAAAAAGGTATAGATTTACTGATGTAAAATTTCTCAAGTTTTGGTTTCTAAATGGTCTTTAATATGCCTAAATCTAATTCCAACTTCACATTCTGTGGAGCAGGGATATTAGAATTTTTTAACTTTTTTTTGCTTGTGTTATTATTTTCTTAATTTTTTTTGGCAGTGGTGCTGTTGTTCTTATTGTTGTTGTTATTATTATTATTATTATTATTATTATTATTTCTCTACTTCACTACTAAAGATATATTGAGTCATTTGAGTATAAAATCACACAAGCTTGCAACCAACTTCCTGAGGAGCAGTTGTAGCGATTGTTGGTCCCTCTACAATACTTTACACAAATTGTGGGCTGTTCCAAATAAAGCAACGTTATTAATATTATTATTTCTAAAATTACCACCATTATTTCACTCTATAAATTATGTGTAATATTTACAATTATTGTGTGTTTACACAAATGGCAATTTCTCACCAAAAAAAACTACAAATTTATATTACAAAGCATTACTTTGTTGAGGTAATCTGACAGTTCGAGAACTTCAATCGCCCAAAGTAAATTAATTGATTAGGAATTGACTTTTTGCAGGGGGGGGGGGGGATATCATATGTTGAAATTGAGCTGGTAGCTTTATCTAGATTCATTGTAAACAGCTTTTTTGCTTGTGGGGTAGGTTGGTGGGTGCATGTGTGTGTGCATGGATTTTTATGTATCAAATTATGTTTTCTTTTACAAAGATAGTTGAAATTTCCAATTCTACAAAAATTTCTTTAGTTTGACCTTGGTTTTGAACAGCTGAAATATTGTATTATGTAATCAAATATTAATAAAATAATAAATTAATATTAAAATGTATTAAAAATTTACGCATACGTAAATTTAAACCAGTCTTGAAAATTGGTAATTGTGTGTACATTGCGATAGTTGTTACGAGAGGAGTGGAATGGCCTCTTACAATATTAAGATAAAATTGTAATATGTACATCGTAATGATTTCTTTGTTAATGTTGTAACTGTTGGATTACTGTGTACGTGGTGAGACCTTAGTGTGCAATCTACATTAATTTTTGACAAATTAATAAAAATAATTTCCTGTTCTATATTTAGAATTTTCGCTAGTCGCTAAAATTTTTCAAAAGTTTATAATTAGCTTATTTATTTTATTTCTTTACGGGATATTCCCTGAAAACATTTAATTATATGTAAGTACAAGATACACATTTGTTATTATTTTTTCTTTTTCTGTATTCTATTTTTATATTTGATTCTTTGTTACAATGTTTTAGGTATTTAAAACCATGGTCAAAATTGAAATATATGTATCAATTCAGAAGTTTGTCTTGTTAAAACAAAAAACTATGTTACAAACAAGTGGCTTTATAGATTACAAGGTGTTGTTCCCAAGTTAAGCTTACCCCTTTTGGAATCTTTGGTTGGCCAATATTGCTCTACCTTTCGAAGACTTTTTGTGTGAAACAAGCTACAAAATTAAGCTATCCAGGTCAATAAAATGGAAACAGGGGAAATCTTTGATTATTGAAGTTTGTGGCAATTGATATGATGTGCATAGAAATGGAGATATAGAGCACATTTTAAGGTGGCTGCATGAATGGCATATATTTTACAAACAAGTTTCAGTTAGTAAGGAGATATGTTAGTTTATCTTCTAAACGTGGAAAATGTGCCTAGAGAAATTATGAGATGAAAAACTGTTAACACAAGTTATTCCGTGTGACTTTTTAATAATTTGACAACTCTTCTTGAAGCCAAATCTTGATTCCAAATGAACTTGAACTAGTTCTTAGAACTAATATTGAGTGTATGATTGCAAACTAAAACATCAGTGGCATGGTGGAGCTAGGGAGGTCCAACGAATTTTTGCTACAAGCTATATAGCTGCAACAAATTCAACTACCGTGTGGATGAAAATTCCAGTGTTGAACCACTTAGTTGGGTAGTTTATTGTAGTTTTTATACGTGGCGAACCTGGAGAAGTCCCCTAATAAATGGATTGTGCAATCATTTTCATCCATACCTCCAACCATTGTATCCCAAAACACACGTACACATGTCTAAAGTCTAATAGCCCAGGTGGTGGAGATACCTTGAGGAGGAAACCTGACATCCTGGTGCAGGAGAGGAACATTGCCACCTCCCAAGACAACTCTCTAAACTTACTGATATAGCATCATAAGTTATGTCTCATTATAGTACAGGAACTGGTACAACAATTGTTGTATTAAATTGGGTTTCAATGACAAAGTAAAATTATCTTTATAATTTACATCAATCTCAATTTTCTCTGGGAAGTTTTCTGTTTTTAAGAACGTTGCATGTACTTAAGAGAAATTACTTAAGAAGATAGAAATTACTTTAAAAAATGAATTTGTTTTGAATGAATTAAAAATCTGAGTAGCTAGCTGCTTCAATATAATTAATTCAAAATGTTAAATACTAGTGAGAAGTTATGTAATTCAACGTTAGACAGTGTAGTTCGTTAACTTCAGTTTGATCAGAAATTTGTCTTAAATCATATTCAACTTTTAGAAGTGTATAAGGTTCAGGGTTCAATTAGTGCATATGTTTCTTTAGAATGGATATGTTCATATTTTTGATTTGCCCTTCCTCCCCTCACTCACCCTTCCTCTCATCTGAACTTCCGCCCCTCCATTGTGTGACGATTCATGGATAGGAAAAGAAAACTCACTCCTCAAAATGTTGCACAAAAAACATCAGTTAATGGAAAATAAAAAAACTATTTAAGTTTAAAAGTAGGTGATTCTGTGTTTTTATTTCTTAAATTTTTGAATACTCAGTGCCTGTCAAAAATTCTTCCTGGCCAAACTCATCTAATATGAATAATATCACCTTAAAGATTAATTTTTGTTTTACAAATAATATAATAGAGCATTGAATTTATTTGGCATGCAAAATTTGATAATTTTAGTATATTAAAAAAACAAACAAACAGTCCCACTGTTTTTTGTTGTCTTGCAAAGAAATTTATGAAACAACCAAAACACTAAAGTGAGCCATATGGTCAAGTTATGTTATTAATTTTGTCATATTTACCCATTTTTATCATATTCCAATGCTGAGAGGAATTCACAAAACTGAAAGATAAAAAGTTCAGTGGTATTAATACAGGGTCTTTATCTCAACATGCAATCCATTACGGATAGCCCCTGTTCTTGTTTTGTCAATGTGGCAACCGTGTGCCTTAACCTCCTTTCAAGAGAGCAGAGGGGAAGATGAGCACTAGTTCATAAGCAGCAGCAACTCCCCTGGATTGTGTGCTTTTCCCATTCGAGAGTTTTGGCAAATTCACACACCAGAATATTTTTACAGTGCTGAAGGTGAGTGGTGTAGTCAGAGACATGAGCAGTTCAACAAAATGTCTCTTTAGGCAGTTATGTCTGGAACGAAACCTGTCTCAATTCTGTCCAGAAAGAAAAACCAAACCTGTAATTCTGAAGATGTGGAGGAAAGTTATGACTGATTAATTGATTTATTAACAGCCAATTAATATTAACATTATTAATATTAAATGAAATCCAGTTTAGAGAGAAATAAGAAAAATATCTTGTGGAACATTGCTGTGAAGCTCTTAATTTTTTATAATAATATATTATTAATATTATTGAACCTGAAAATCAAACAAATACGAAAATCTAAGTAAAGTTAAGAAAAATTATAATAATAAGATATAAATTAGTAAATTAATAAAAATTGAAAATAATACAATATTGTTTCATTAAAATGACAATAAACCTAACTGAAAGAAAATGCTCAAAGTGACTACCACTTGCCAAGAGGGAGGCATTTACTCTTTCAGCGTAGTGGCTGCATCACATTGAAGAGTAGCAAGACCAAATTATAGCTTTCCCTTTCTTCCAAATAAAATTAATCACATCCTCCCAGCCTGGAATCTAAGGGCAAGAGGCTGCAGGTTGATAAAAGTGAAAAGGATGCCAAAGGTATTTCACACATTGCCTAATTTTCAGTGTAGTGTTCCAAGACATGGGTTGCGAGTATAAGAGGATAAGTTAAAGACCCAGTATAATACCCAGTGAAAGAGCAGAATTTTAGCTATTCCTGTACTTAAAAGAACAACATATTTCATGCTGTTACAGTAATCTAAAAGATGAGTGTAAAGACAAAAAGGAATTTATAACACCGGTATGTGTTTGTGCACATGCGAATGTAATATTTTCGGTAACAAAAATTGACTTTTCAAATCTATCTTTTGATTTGGTCTTTTTTTTTTTTTTAATTATATTATTATTTTTATTTATTTCATTGATGTTTGCATAAGAATTTTGAGTTGTTAAATGACAATGAATGCTTATTGTTGAAAGCTGTTGGAAAAATATCCCATAGGGAGAAATAAATAAATTTTGAATCTTATCTGTAAAATTAGCTTTATGTATACAAGAGTTTTCCTTATTTTTAGCCTTGAAACCTTTATTTTTTATACTAACATGTTGTAGAATCGTGTATTAACATATTGTGCCTTGCTTAAAAGGTTTAACTCAGAAGGGTAAAAATAATGTATGTGACTGTGCTAATTTCAATTAATAATATGTGATGTCGCTATTGTTGTTCAAGATTTAAAAAAATTTCTCTCCTTGCATGAATTTTTTTAGTTGCATTTTGTCAAGTTGGCACACTTTGATATGGGATATTTTCACTGTGAATAGTAGCTGAAAAAGTTATTGGATGATTGTGCATGCATTGAGGAAGCACAGAATTTTTGTAATACGTAATGTAGTCTCTTCCATGTTTTTTAATGACTGTTTTGTTATTTTGAGTTGTGGGATGGTCTTTAAATGCATATTTTGTTTTAAATTTTGATATTACAATGAAATCATGAATTCAAATGGTATTGATGTCCATAAAAATTGCAGTTAATTTATAATTTGTAATTGTTTCGATGTTGGTCAGTAAAGCTGGACCAGTGTTCACTTGACCACAAATCATAAATGTCTTATTGTCTTTTCGTTGTTCTGGTGCGCGAATGCTTTCTCTTGTGTGTAGTAGTTTTGAGTGTCCCTGACCAAGACTCGTTTGAATTATTATCCGAGTCTGGTCTGAAGCCGTTCAAATGAATGGCGGTGGACATTCTAGAGGGTGTCCTGCTCTGAATTCTACGTGTTCTTGCTTCAAATTCACGGTCTAGGCCTAAACCCTGACACGCAAGAGCGCACTGTTGGCTGTCGCCTGGAGAACTACAAGGATGGCTCGATGGGGGTCGGGCCCGCCGATTCTCTAAAACATTTACCTGATCGAATGAGAGAGGCTGTTAAGGTAGGCCATTGTATTAAGCCTGAGGCTGTGATACTGGAATTATTTTATCTCCAGTCATAGCCAGTCTCACTGTGTTGTTTATTCATATTAGAGGGTTATGCTTTTTCTTTTGTACCCCTCTTGTAGATAGTCTCATTTTCCTTCTTTAAACAAAATAGGAAAATAGATACAAAAATATTTCAGACCGGTGTTAATCTCTGCATTCCTTCAATAAATATACTATTTGGGGGCAAGAAAGATTTAATATTATGAGACCTGGAATTAAAATCCATATTTTGGAATGTAGCATGGTGCCAAACTTGCCCTTCAAAGAAAAGGAGAGTTCTTATTCTGCATGCGCCCGATCCACTGCAATTTTTCATTTACTACACTGCCAACTTGAAGTAATATGACAGATGTAGTTGAATTAATTCTGAATAGCTCTCTTTCTAATGAATTTAATATAACATGGAATTGTTTTGTCTTCAGAAAATATTAACGTTAAATTATGCATGTGAATAAGTTCTTGTCTCATGAAGTTTGTTTTGCTTCTAGCTGTTTCAAGAATACGTTCGTAAATCGGACAAGGAACCATTTTCTGTTGAAACAAGACAAGGCTATTGGCGGCACTTAATTGTGCGAGTGACTTGCAGTGGTGATGTTATGTTGGTAGTAGTTGCACATCCTCAGTCATTAACTGAAGAGGAACTTACCAAAGTCAAAGATGATCTTCGTGACTATTTTGTGAATGGAGAAGGAAGAGCTTGCAATGTATCATCTCTTTATTTCCAGAAATTTACTGAAAAGTATGTTAATCTGTCAGTATCTAATTGTTGTTAAAGTACAATTACTTTCTCTTCAAAATCTGGTAACTAGAACAAAAAAGAAACTTGTATTTTTCTTTATTGTTTTATGCAATTAGGAAAAAATTTTAGTTTGAATCACTCTGTAGTCCTTTCAGTTCCTTATTTTGAAAATAATTGTATCTTTATGAATTGTAGTATTAGTTCTTACACCTCTTACCAATGTGGTTTCCAGACTTGTTGGAGTACCTTTGCCAGAAATGGAACATCTTTATGGCAAGACACATTTGGAAGAACAGATGTTGGATCTAGTTTTTCACTTGTCTCCCACATCATATTTTCAGGTACATTATAAAACAGAGTATTGTATTTTAAAGATAATATTTTTTCAGGATTGTGTAAATCTTATGATCATATTCCAAAGTAAGCTATCTTTTACAAGAAACAAACTTTTGTTAATAGGTGAATACCAAGGGAGCAGAAGTGCTGTATTCTGCCATAATAGAATTGGTTCAGCCTACTGAGGATACGACCGTACTTGATTTGTGCTGTGGAACTGGTGGAATTGGCCTTTGCATTGCAAAAGTAAGTTCAACAATATATCTTTGACCCCAGTGAAAAAGTTGATACGTCTTCATCTTCTTAAAAAGTCTAAGACTTGTTCCTCTCCAAGATTTAAAACGAGTCTTTCCATCTTTTCGCTGGCCAACTTCTCTTCTTCCCCTCAGCCTTTCATCTCTAGCAACCCTCACGATTCTTTTCTCTCCCATTCTCTCAATATGACTGTTCCATTTCTTTCTTCAGCCTGTCACATGTTCTGCAATGAGTGCACCAACTTTGCACATTTCCCTGATGTTTCTGTTTCTTTCCTTATCCAGTAAAGTGTGATTTGTAATTTTTCTCAGAACGCTCATTTCGGTGACCTCAAGTTGTTGGATATGTTTTGTTTCACTTCTTGTTACTCCTGCACATGTTAATATTGGTCTAATCATCAATTGATATATTCTAACCTTAGAGTCCTGTTTTAGATGGTTTATTATACTATATTGAGTAGTTGAGAAAGCCAGCAATCTTATTACCCTTTATTATTTTCTCTTTGATTTCTTTCTCTGTTTGTTCTGAGCTTGTTAAAGTTATTCCCAAATACTTCATCTCTAGAACTTGTTATCCACTATCAATATTCATCTAATCTGATTCGTAGCAATTGTCATAGCTTTCGTTTTCTGAATACAGTAATCTTAAATCATATTCATTTTTTTCTTGTAACAATGTATTGTCTGCGTAACATATGATATTTATATTTATATTTTCCCATCTTTTTAAACTTTTTCAATACAATTCATTATTACGTTACAATGGGCTCAAAGAATCCTTTTGTTCCCAAAATTCCTTTCGATGCCGGTAAAGCATGTAACATTTTCCCATGGTTTTTAATCTTTATGTTGTTTTCTGTGTATATTTATTTATTTATTTATTAACAGACTGTGAAGACTGAGCAACAGTTTTTTTTCAAAAGCTCGTTTATAAATGAAAATAGTACAAAAAAATAATCGGAAAATATAATTAATAAACATAGAAAAGAAGAACGAAGCATATATTACAAAAGAAAAAGAAAATTCAAAATACAGAAAGTAAAAAAGTAGTTATCATAATATAGTTTAATTTCATAATTCTCATTGAAAAACTGAAGAAACTGTCTCATCGCTAAGCTCAATTATAAAGTTTCTAAGCAATTTCTTTGAATTTTTACGCAGTTTATCGTAGCTGGTATTTTTGAGTTCACTACTTAGTAAAATAAAAATCCTATAATGAATATAATTATGGTTACGTCGACTGATTTCTTTCCCAATTTTCGGCGGTACTAATAACTTGTTTCTCTTATTATTTTTACATAGTGATATATATATATAGTAGTCAAAATTATTCAAAAGAGATTTTTCGAAGAAAAATTTCCTTATAGAGACAGGTCTATATGTTTTAAAAAGTAATTCAGAGGAATATAGTTTGTTTTTTCTATAAACGATTTTAAGTATTTTCTTTTCAACATCTTGTAGCATTTTAATTGTGTTATAATATGCACCACCCCATGTTATAATTCCATAAGTCGCAATATTCCAAAATAACGCATAATACATTATTAACAATTGTTTTTCTCTAAAAATACTCCGCAATTTATAAAACACATAAAGTAAATAATGGACTTTATTTGTGACTTGTGCGATACATTGTTTCCACTTCAAATTTGAGTCAACACGTATTCCAAGATATTTGGCTGAATTCACTTGTGTCAGAAATGGGCAATCACACATATCACTATTAATATACGCGAACTAGTATGTAACTGTAGCTCAATATTTGAAGGTATGCTGTCAACATAGGTTATGAAAACAGTTTTTTGTATATTTAAGGTTAGGAAATTTACACTCAATCATTTCGTAATTAGACTCATTTTAGCTTGTGCTAAATTCTTTAATTCAGACCACGTTTTAGCTTTAACAATTAGTGTAGTGTCATCAGCGAATGACACAATTTCACCCTTTGGTAGAATATCAAAAAATCATTAATATATAATATGAAAAATATAGGACCGAGAATGGTTCCTTGAGGAACTCCACAAGTTACATTTAACTCGTCACTGATAATATTATTGATTTTTACCACCTGCTTTCTCCCAGTAAGATAACTTTCAATTAATTTGTTGGCAATTAAATGAAAGTTATCTTTCCATAGTTATACAACCATAGTTATATAGTTACATATCCTCTAAATCCATACTTATACAACTTTTTCAACAGAATATTGTGATTGACCGTATCAAAAGCCTTTGCTAAGTCCAAAAACACTGATAAACACGGAGTGTTTTTATCGATAGCAAGGCTGATTTGGTCAGTGACATATTTTAACGCATCTTCAGTACTCTTATTTTCCTGGAATCCGAATTGGTATTTATTTATAATATGCTTATTTACAAAATTTATTATTCTTATTTTAAGAAAGAACTTTCTCAAAAATTTGTGTGTGTGTGTGCGTGTGCGCGTGCGCGCGCGCGTGCGTGCGTGCGCGTGCGTGTTTTTTTTTGCGCGTGTGCGCGCGTCCTTTTCCTTTTGCAATATTTTTCTTTATAATGAACATTCGTAGTTCTATTCACTGCTAATATCCGCTCCTGATAGATTCCTTACATCTATATCTGAAGCGGGTGAATTTCCTGATTAGTAAGAATAAAGTTGATGGTGGATTTTTTTCCTTTTGTGTTCATCTCGTGTATTTTTATGCTGTTCTGTATGATCAAAGAAAGTATTATTTATTATTTCGTTTCTAACGCAGAAATCTAGAAAAGTTTCTCCTTTTTCATTGAATCACTTTCATTGAAAATGTTCGTAATTCTCGGGGTGTGATTTCCTTCTCAGGTGTTCAGATTACCCGCTCTTACAGCCAGTTCCTTAGGATTGGCTTGGCTGATTGTTTCTTGGAGGTCATCATAGAATTTTTTTTTAATGGTTTATTATTTTCTGGCACGTATACAGATATAATGTTGATTTTTTTAGATTTATTTGCCAATTTCACAGATTAATTTTTTTCAGAGATGTAGTTATGTTTAATTATGTTATTTACATATTTGTTGTGCATTATGAATATTACACCATCCTTTACTCTGTTGTTTTGGCGGTCCACTATACATGTGTGCTGTGACGTCTTTGTGTAATTCCTTGTCCCTTTTTCTTAGTTTCTCTAAGGCAAGATATGTCAATTGTGTCCCTAAGAAGTTCCATTAGTATTTCGTATTCACTTGTAGTCCACGTCCTTGGAATCCATTTTCCATCTCTGGAATGTTCTTCCTCTTCCAATTTGTAGTCCTTTTCCTTGCCAGAGTGGTCATACATTTAAGATTGATCCAAGGCAAATTCTTGGAGCTCTGAGCGGTATCATTTTTTACCCTGTGTAGGCTGCTAACATTCAGGAACCCCCCTCCTTTATCCAGGCTTGGAACCGGCAGTAGGCTGCTAAGCTACTCATTCCACCTAGCAGACACCACAGGCAGAGTTAAAGTTGATAAGTTTTAAAAGCTTAATTTTACGGGAGAACAAAAAACAATGTTCAACTAATGCTGTAAATCAGGGATTAATGATGATCAAATGAAACCTACACATACCTACTTTGTTTTTACAGTTCTTTCACTGACTGTATTTTCAAATGTAGCAATTTTACCTTTTAACCGTTATTAGGTTATTCATGCAAAAAATTTGAAAATACAATTAGTTTTCCTGTTATTTACGTACAACAGAACATGAAATATGACACATGTTTAATATTTAAGTTATAACTTAATATATTGTTGTGTATGTTTTTATATATATATATATATATATATATATATATATATATATATATATAAAATAAATAAATAAAAGGGTAGTGATATTTTTGAATTAAAAAATAAAAACTTGAAAAATTATCCAAACAAAAGGACTTTTTGGAAAGTGCTGGAGTGCAATATCCATATTCTTGAGACTTAAACTTTTTCTGTTTTCTATGAATTTTATTAGTCAATTCTCTCAATGCACAACTAATACAAAAACTCATGACCATTGCTTAGCAAAGCCATTACCATGAGATGAATAAGCCAGAACAGCAAGGTTAATATAACTTGTATGGACACTTCTCATAAAATTATCACCCACAAGCATGTCGCCACCTTGTCAAGCTCAAAGCTCCTGATATGGTGTGGTGGTATAGTGCATATCAATGGTAACATATTCATGTATTCCAACTGTTCACTATCCCTTCACAGGATGTAACTTACACTAGCTCACTTTTTTCTTTATTTCTTACATTGGAAAGTGTTATTGAAATGTTGGCTTTGCATTGTCGTGAAAAGAATTAATACATTTTTGTAATGTACTTACACAATTTTATTACAGAAATGTGGGCAAGTCTTTGGCATTGAATACCTCTCACAAAATATAGAAGATGCCAAGTATAATGCAAAGCAAAATGACATTACAAACTGTGAATTCATTGCTGGCCGTGTGGAGGATATTTTGCCTACACTTTCTGAAAAAATAACAGGGAAGAGTGTGGTACCAATTTTGGATCCACCTAGAGCTGGATTAAGTAAGTATTAAGTAAACATTTTATTTATGTAGATTATGATTACACAAAATAATTGAGAGGGCATACGACACCTTGGAGACATATTACTTCTCTTAAGTTATTATCACAAAGGCATAGCCTGAATGTGAACCTATATAAAATCTTGTGACTTATAAAACTGAAAGTTTAAATTAAATACTCTTTGAACTTAATAATTCGTAAAAGGGTAGAACATAATGCTGATGACTACACTGCAACAATAAATTATAAAGTATTGATAGAAAGTTTTACAATTCAAAAAAAGTGGAACAAAAAGTAAAATCATTGAACTAAATTAAAACTAGAACGTAAACAATCTTACAACACACTAATAATTTATAGACTCACAAAAAGGGATCACAGCTTAAAAACTATAATATTAATAAAAATGTTGACTTATAAAATTGCTTGGATTACAGAACTCCCGTCAAATTATTTACTTGATGATAACATCTAAAGGCGAAACAAAATTGTTAACCATATTTTATGAGAATAACAAAGAAGTAGCTTCCAAAAAGTTTCTATGTAACTATTTCAGAAAGTGATAAAAGGAATAAATAGTGTGGGCTACTAAATTATTGATCTTTCTCTCTTCTCTTCCTTTTTCTTCTTCTGTCTCTTCTCTTCCTTTTCTTCTCTTCTCTTCTCTTCTTCCTTCTTCTTCTCTTCTCTTCTCCTTCCTTTTTCTCTCTCTCTTCTCTTCTCCTCCCCTTTTCTCTCTCCTTCTCTTCTCTTCTTCTTCTCTTCTTCTCTTCCTTTTTCTTCTCTTTCTCTTCTCTTCTTTTTCTTCTCTTCTCCTTCTCTCCTTTTTTCTTCTCTTCTCTTCTCTTTTCTTTTTCATCACCATTCTCTTCTCCTTCCTCTTCTCTTTTGCCCTCTTTTCTCCTTCTTTCCTTCTCTTCCTTTTCTCTTTCTCTCCTTCTCTTCTCTTTTCTTCTCTTCTCCTCTCCCGTCCTCCTCTTCCTTCTCTTCTCTCCTTTTTCTTCTCTTCTCTTTTCTCTCTCTCTTTCTTATTAATAATTTTGCTTAAATTCAAATGAAGTTTGTTAATTCAAAATCACAATTGTTCTTGGCATAATCTGATAGTTAATTTTGATAAAACAACGTATATTCTAGTGCATATCTACTCATTTTAGTGTGTCATGCATTTTATATATTTGTATTTTTATTTTCCATATCATTGAAATTGCTCATTTCTATATATGTGTTACAAGAGTTTTACTTGTATGTATTTTTTTTTGTGCAAGTTTTATTATTGAAATATTTCTAGTCAATATTCTGCCATTTCAGAATTGCGTACATTTTAAATTTTTATATTATTATTATTTTTTTATAACTATATACTCATTCCATTGTACCTGTTCTTTGATTTCTTTATTTGTATGTGTTATTAGATGAATTCTGTGTGAATAAATTTCAATTTATTAATTGATGTTTTATTTACAGATCAGAAGGTTCTGGCCCAACTGCGGCGTTTGGATACTGTGCAGCGTCTGGTGTATGTGTGTTCAAACCATAAGGCACCTATTCGAAACTTTTTGGACCTCTGTTGTCCGACAGGAAAACATGCAATGAGTGGGCATCCATTTGTACCAGTGCGTACTGTGCCAGTGGATGTTGTACCTCACACTGCACATGCTCAAATGGCAGTTCTCTTGGAGCGTGTGGATCCTTCTACATTACCGCGTGCTATGGCACCCCTCACTTCTTCAGGACGCAAGATGCGTGGTGGAGGACGAGGAGCCAAAGCTGGAATGTCTCGTGGAGCTGGTCGAGGTCGTGGACGAGGTCTCCCAATGCCTCGAGGAGGAGGAGGAGGTGGTCGAGGACGTGGCGTTCCTCTGCTTCGTGGGCCCCCTATGCCACTGCCACCACCACCTCATCGTATGGGATTCGGAGCTGGCCCTCCACCTATGAGAGAGCCCTTGGTTAGACCAAGACCGCGAGGGGATTTTATGGATGGATATGGTCCTCCACCAGGTAGTCGACGGCCTAGAGTTGACTTTTCTTCTGATGAGCTGACTCTTAGTCGCTATTCTGATTTCCGTCGTGATGTTGAAGATGCAATTGATTCGTCAATGGGTCCTCGGCCATTGTTGCCTGGCCCTCCACGCCGACTTCCTCCACCAGTGCGAGATCCATTGGTGGGAGGATTAGGTCCAGCAGCTACTGCTGCTATGCTGGAGCGGGAGGAGATGGCATTTCGTGCTGGGCTCACACGGGGCCTTGTTAGAGCTGCAGCTGGATTCGGACCACCCCCACCCCACAATATGTATTCCCCTCCGTTTGGACCTCCTGGTCCATCCCAAGGTCGCTTTAAAGGAGTAGGAAAGCGAGGTGGAGGTGGGACATCCAATCGTGGTCGAGGCCGTCGGGGACGTGGGCCACGATAATTATTTTAATTTGGAACCCTTACAGGCTGTTACAGCCTGTGCCATGTTTTTGCAACTGATGTTAAAGCAAGAACTTGTGAGGTTCATCCACACCATTTCAATATTTTAATAATTTGACTTTGTTAGGTTCTTGATTCAAATTGAATTCTGGACCAGTTTGTTCAATTCCAATTTAAATCATTGTGTAATTGTGCATTTTTTATTGAATGTATGGTTTCTTGTCTCCTGTCTGTTCTTGTTAAGTTTCATTTATTTTGTCTCAAATTTCTACATTTGCTACTTAAATACTAAGTATACTTACAGACATATGGCACAAAAGTATGAGAGGATTTGTGAGAAGTTAGTCCAAATGAGATTCATTGAATATTTGATACTTTTGAATAATTTATTAATATCCTTTCTCATTGGAACTTTCCTAGATTTGTCATTTCTGACTGTTCCTGTTACATGCTCTCTTAATTTAAAACTAAATTATTTAATCTCCTGATCCTTGTATTTTGTGTTTGTGATATTAAAAGACTACTTTTTTCGCTTAAAGTAAAGAGTTGTCACACTGCCATCTGCATCTCATCTGAGGCAGCGACTAGAATTTTTTTTATATTTATATGTGTCTAATTTTTATATATATCATCTCAAATTTCAAATTGTGTTATCGTAAACTTAGATTAGTGAATTGCTATTAGAATACTCGCACTGTAGAGTATATAAACACAACACAAATTCAGTATATTGATGTTTCTAGTGTGTATATGTGTATGTGTGATGTTTACCTGATGACCAATGGTCATTTGACTGCACACTCCTCATGTTGCAATATTCCTTTTGTAATAAAAACATTATTTACTCAATGCGTTGTGTTCTTATTCCCTTGTGAAAATGCTTCATCTTCGTGGCTCTTCTCTGGCTCTATTTACTGACAATCTGAAGGCGTTGCCATTGAAAGCCAACGTGCCAACTTTCTCAATGAGCGTCATTTCTTTTATGTATCTCTAGGTTCAGCAGAATTATTTGCATACATCTTTTCTCAAATTATTGTATACAAACAATGTTTAACCCATTTCTTCCTGCAACGCAATGTTTACCGTTTGAAATTTGAAACATTTGAAATTCACTCTGGACCAGCATCATCAGAGAAGAACTTGACGCCACGAGGATAAAGTCTTACATCTTCCGAGCATCCAAGGAAAAAGAAAAACAGGTGGAAAATGGGAAAGAATCACCCCTTGGTTCACCAGACATCTTTCATCGTCCAAAGAAAAGTGTGTTGAGGACATCAAGAATGAATACGGCAGATACCAATTGGAATGTTTGATCTTTCTTTGACAATAACTTTGTGTCGCAATTAAATATGCTTGAGGTAAGAACAATCATAACTTTATTTAGGCAAGAAGTGATTTTAGAAAATTTATGGGAATTATGATTTTAAACCGTTTCCATTCACTCCCACAAACAAAACATTATTGGAGTATGGATCCTGGTAACCGAGTTCCAATTGTGTGTGAGACAATGACTCATAACATATTTGAAGGAAAAAAAAATATATATATACACCTTTCAGACAACATTTAAGATAAAAAAGATAAATTTGCAAAATTCCAATCTTTCTTGTAGAAACTGAATAAAAGAGGTTTTTAATTCAGTGTATTTAACCAAAAATTGTCAATGATGAACAGAAGGTGCCGTTTTTCAGAAGTCACTCGGCTAAAATGTTTATAATAGGTAAATCAATGAGATTTGTTTTAAAATTAAGGTGTATTGCATAACAGGATTTTCGAATAAATTTGGTGCATATAGAGGAACATTAAAGACGAAGTTTGAGCTTAGATGAACAAGCTGTTTGCAATTTGACAAAAATTGTTAAAAAAAAAACAACGCCACTTGCCGTTCTTTGGCAAGTCACTCTCTTCTTGTCATGTTATTAGAACTGGGATTTTTTGCAACTGGAACTCTGAGAGAAAACAGGATATCAAACAACGTAAGTTAAAGAAAGAAAAGGTCAATTTACCTGTGTTATGGATAGCAAAATGAGATTTTCATTGTCAGATGTCATGGCATTTCTGTTGTCACAGTGGGAACAAGCCACCTGTCGGCACAAAACAGCACAACCGTAAAGAAAGAAAAAGCAACAATGTTCGACAACAAACTAAACCATTAATACAATCAGGGAATGTGAGGGGGACGACTTTCATGATAGTGCGGTGGCGAATTAAACGATTCGCTTCAGAGGCAAGAAATGGTGGCTTCTGTTTACCAGTGGTGCAGACCTTCATTGAAAGTTTGTTTCCAACATCATTTGCCTTGTTTTTATTTTTGTTTGATATTCTGTAAGTAGATTAGAAGTTACATTTATACATTTTTAACAAATAAATACGCGTTTCTTCTTAATGGAAAGGACGGGGATTAACATGCGAGAGTTGTCGCACGGGCAATAATATTTATATATATAGATAAATATAATCCTTCATTTCATGACTGATTTTGATTCGAATGTTTATTATAAACTAAAATTATGAGCATTCATGTCATTTGTGCAATTGGCTTTGTTACATCTATACAAGTTATAAAACTCATAAACGTATATCTCGGAATATTAATACACGAACTTGATTCATAATAAAACAATAAATACAACATGTGGCACAAGCCGAGAGTGGTGACAATAGTTAGCTACGAGATCATCTCCGCGTCCCATTTCTTGTTTTATTAAATGCTCTTGTGCAATTCTTACCTGTGAAATCCGTGTTATAACGTAAATCATCTAATTGAGTTCGATTTGCCTAAAGGGAAATTCATTTCTGCACTACATATAAATAATTATTTAATGTAATAAAAGGAACTGTGTGTAACGAAAAGGGAAGAAGTGCAATCTATGTCTCCGATATTTTTAGACTGCCGGTTTTGCTACATTTGTTGGTGAATGATCAAATAGTGCACAGTTAATAAATTAATTTATAAATAAATGTGAATTAAGATAAAATAAAATATTAGCTCAGGTCTTTCAAAATACCCTTACAAGTTTCTTGCTTCAAATCTTTACTTTTATATTGCCCATTATGTACCGTTTTCTTACAAGAAATAATATTTTCCAAACAAGCTTTTCCTAGTCTATTTCCGTTTAAAGAAAAAAATTCAAAAAAAACTGGTTGTTTATCACATCTTTTCCTGGTAAATATTATAACCTCACTATTTCTACGCACTGTTTAGTGTTTTTCTGCGGCAGCGAATGCCTAAATATATAATAAATGAAGGAGTAGAAATTGCCGGAGAAAACTCGCTCGCTTACCGACTCGATCGAGGAACTCTTTCGCTTCTGTAAAACGAACGAGAAAACTCTTTCAAGTGTGTGGGGGTCTTAAAGTGTTCTTTTTTTCGATTTTCCATAATTCTCGTCGCACATTTCTGGAAATATAACTCGGTGTAGTCTGTTGCGGGCCTAAGCTGTCGAAAGCGTAGAAGAGGAAAGTGTATCGTCTACGCTTGAATTCTTCTTCCTTCTTTGTGCTTGTCGTTTAATTTTCTCTTTTTAATACATAAAAATGAGAGAGAATGACGTCTGTTCTTTCTTTTTATTAATATTTCTATCTCTATCCCGGATGAAAATAATTTCCCCCAAAAATCCCCAAACTTTTCCCCGTCCATTTATGCTCCCCACAACGAAATAAAATTCCCATTTTGAGGACAAAATTCCCCAATCTGGCATGTCATTGACACAGTAAGATGTAAACTGCTAACACCCGTGATTTTCAAAATTGTCCTTGGTAACCATTTATAATTATTCGAATTGGCCTTGATAAAACTAGGCACCCAATCAAATTTAAAACAGATTAGGAGTTTCTTGTACTTACGGAAATGGATAGTATTATACGGCTGGACATATTTAAAAAATTACAATTTAATACCACTGTTATTTATTTTATTGGTCACATGCGTCTTTAACCCCTGTTATTGTAACATGCAAATCTACAGATATTTATTTGATCGGTCACAAGTGTCTTTCACCCTGTTTAGCATGCAATCCTGCGGGTAAGTGCTCTTTCACCGGGTCTTTATTTTATCGTTCGCCGAACAATCGGGCCGCGTCGCACGGGGAGGCGAAAGCTCGGTCACCAAGCGAAACACAGACTCAACTCCCGTGCTGACACACGCAGAAGCGGGATTCTAAGGGGGGGGCAACTTCCCCCCGATGTTGGTGACAACTTAAAAAAATTTTTATTCAGACATTTCATTTCGCGGATCTTCAAATTTCTATTAATAGATATTTCCTTTTTTTCTATTTTGAGGGGGGGGGGGTATCCCCTTACTGTGTTTGAGTAACTGTGAGAGTGCGTTAGTGCGGATCCGTCACTCACGGTAAGATCTCTTCCCCCGCACCAATCGAAACGAATGACGTATCATTCGACGCGTCACGGTCTCCTGGAGGTGAACTGATAATTTGTTTTCGGATCCGGTCCTAAGATTCTAAAAAATATTCCAAAACGTGTTTTTGTGATTTTTAACGCTGCCATCTTAGCGAGTAGGCCGGGAATTAAACGAATGCCACCCAAGTAGATCTATCTAGGTTACGCTGAATGCGATATGTAAATCCCCGCGGCAGTTTTCATTTAATTTGCATCCATTTTTAACGTCTTTTTAAAAAGATATGTGGAAAAACCTACTAACTGTGTTGCCTTGAAACTTATTGAACTTCAGGTAAATAGGGAGAAAACCAAACTGAGAGTAATGCAACAGAATCACATTTACGTTCTTACATTCGATTTATCACATTTACATTCTAATTCATATCCGCCTCGTCTCGTTGTAGTCGGTTGTCAAGAGGTGTACGCGCCCTTGCGTCACTACTGGGTGGCCAGAATTGGGAAGGAATTAGGATTGGGGTAGGGTTTTGGACATTTCACAGGTGTTGGACAAGCCTCTGTGAAGCATGCAAACTCGTTTTGTCGTAACAAATTTCACATGAGGTTTACGGGTATCGAATCCTGGTACTCAATTGTGAAAGGTGACTTCGCCACAAGAGCATTCTATGTCATTCTGTAGCACCACTAGTTTATATTTGTAAGTTGGGGAATTTTGCTTCACTTGCAGAGGTTAGTTGGGAAAATTCGGTAGTAGTGGCGGGATAGAGCTCGCCGTACATCTGGCAACCCTGCTCAATGAGCCCCTGAACTGTGAAACATAATATACTCTCTGCTGTGAAACATATGCAATGAAAAAGTGGATAAAGGTTGAATGACAAATTGTCTTTCTATTAAAACGTACCAAAGGTTCGAATGATCCGTCACAATGCGAGTTTGCCCTAGTCCCTTACGTATTATTGTGAATTCTTCGCTGAATTGTAGCAAGGAATTTAGCACGAAAACATGTAATTCTTTCCCGAGCCGCAATTGGCAAGTAAATCATTTAATTAATTGTAATTAATTATGCAAATTATGTCCTTTTAATCTTTTTTTATTTTTTTTATTTTTCGGCGTGAACAGGGCGAATACACCCGTATTCTTGCGAGGAAGGCCTAGTTTGATAAAAATATTGATCAAACGGCGCCTGAGCGACAAATTTCCACCGACCTTCGAAATTCCCGTGGAAAATATAAGAAACTTCAGTATAATAGCTCACGTTGACCATGGCAAAAGTACATTAGCCGATCGGCTTTTAGAAATGGCAGGAGCTATTGATAAAAATTGTGGTAGAAGCCAAGTTCTTGACAAACTTCAAGTTGAACGTGAGAGAGGAATCACAGTGAAAGCACAAAGTGCATCCCTGATCTACAATGTTGATGGTACAGACTATATGTTGAATTTAATTGATACTCCAGGTCATGTTGACTTTTCAAATGAAGTTTCGCGATCATTATCAGCATGCCAAGGTGTAATTTTACTTGTTGATGCGAATCAAGGTGTTCAGGCTCAAACAGTTGCAAATTTCTACATGGCCTTTACTAAAGAGCTAGTGATTATACCTGTGTTGAATAAAATTGACTTGAAGAATGCAAATCCTGAAGCAATTACAGATCAGTTAAAAAATATCTTTGGAATTGAAGAAAATGAAGTTTTAAAGGTAACGTTATTTGTTGTCTTTATGTAGATGGGGAAATAAATACTGTCTTAAATTAATTTAAATTTAATTGCATATTCATGCATGTTACAACTTCTTAACTTAACTGTTATAACTTCTTGTTTATTGGTTCTTGCATACAAAAAGTTTGAAGATACCAATATTAGATAGTTTGCAATATAAATGAAGTTCAAACTCTTTCATTAGCATTCCATAAATTAATATTAGCCCAACTTAATATTTTTTACATCAAAAATTTCCTTTTCTATCTTCCCAAAATTTGTGTGAAGAAAATTGTTTACTACAGATTATTTTTTATTTTTTTCTCCATTTGTTTTTAATTTCTAAAATTAATTCTTTAGTTATAAAAACTCATTCCTTTCCAGATTTCAGCAAAACTTGGAACTGGTGTAGATGCTGTCCTCCGAGCTATTGTAGAAAGAATTCCTCCACCTCCAGTAAATCGCAACAAACCTTTTCGAGCACTACTCTTTGATAGTTGGTATGATCGTTATCGTGGTGCAGTATCTTTATTATATGTTGTAGATGGAAAGGTTCAAATGGGAGATATGATAAGTTCTGCACTTTGCGGTAAATTATATGAAGTCAAAGGTCTAGGAATTTTAACTCCACAAGAGACACCTGTGGAGTGCTTGTAAGGAAAATCTCAACAATGCCCATTAATTGTGGACGTAAGCTCTTTATATACTTTACTTGCTGTATTTATGCATAAATTTATAATTTTTTAGAGTAGCAGGGCAAGTGGGATTTATGTTCTGTAACATGAGGTCATCTCAGGAGGCACACATTGGTGATACTATTTTTCATGAAGGAAATCCTGTGGCAATCCTTCCAGAGTTCAAAGCATCCCAGCCAATGGTATTTGCTGGGGTGTATCCTGTTGATCAGTCACATCATGTGGAACTGCGTAATGCAATTGAGAGATTAGTTTTGAATGATTCAGCTGTTACTTCTTCAGTAGAATCAAGGCAAGTGTTTTATTATAAATTGTAATACCGTATTTACTATAATATAAGAGTATGTGTTTTTTTAAATACATGTTTGAAAAATACACTGTCATCTTACGTTTGCAGATAAAGCCTAGTTGGTTAGGTCTTTGGTTTTTTATTGTCTTTCCATATTCATAAACTCAAATTCTGATATAATAATAAGCCTCAAAAGCAATTTACAAATGTTTATAAAAGGTTTGTGATGATCAATATGGTAGTACTCAACACAAGTTTTTTAGCGAGAAAATGTCCAAAAAGTTTTAGTTTTGCTTTGGTTCCAAAGTAAACTAGTGGTGCTAAACTAGCACAAACTCGCTCCTTAGTAACAGTTATGTAATAATTTTGTATTGCATTTCTGTCTGTATCAAAACATCTCTTGTCAATGAGCGCTGACAACAATGGGCACATATTTTCTTATCAATTCTTGCTAAAAGCATCATTTTTACCATAAATAAAATATAATTGTTTTTCAGTTTGCATTGTTGTGGTTTTATGAAACTTCTTCTAAGGTGTTCTTTATAGAACACTATTGCTTGTTTCAAATATATACAATTATTTTTCATCATGACCCCAAGATATTTTAAGTTCATTCTTAAAATGTTTTATTTTATTTTAAATGAAGACTTACAACCAAATAAAATCATAATTATTTTTTTCATAATTCATTAAGAAATTAAACAGTTATAGATGTCCCGGAGAGCAGTAAAGCAGAAAGCCCGCTAAAAATGTTTCATCTTTGCTGCCAAGATCGTATGTTAGTTTTTTGAAAAGAAAATGAAATAGTAAACAAAAAACTATTATAAAAATTTTTTTTCTTTCCAGCACATCATACAGACGAGCAAGGATAATTTCACAAACAAAGAACATCCAAAAATAAAAGTCATCCCATATATCCCATTAAGAATATATTAGAAATAACGAATTCATCACCATATACAAATGTTTTATTTTCTCATCGCTTTAAACAATTAATTTTTAATGTTAATTCCTTTACGATTCATAAAAACATAGTATCTGACAAATAATTTCGTCCTGTAGCATTACATTCTTTAAATACAAAAATAATTAAATGCCATTTTACTGTTGGCAGGCGGTCAATTTTATGTATTCGTACATCTGTACATTGAGAATACAGAATGTAGAATTAAGTAAAAGTGCAAAAAAAAGCAAAAGTTAAATTAATATTGGCATTTTCAATAGGAAATTATAATTAAATTTAATTAAATTATTTTTCATATCATTCATTCCTTTTTTTTTTCCTGGCCCATTGTTGGAGCTTAACCTGTATAAGTTTCATTATTTTCAACCAGAAATAGTTGATATAAGTATAATATAGTTGATATAATAGGTGGTATAAGAAGTTTTTTTCAAAAAATTGTACATGACCCTTTTTAAAAAGGTAATTTTGTAAAACAAACTTTGTTTGAACAAAAATCGCCTTTCAATATTGTAATTCTGAAAAGTTTTTTTTGCAATTTTGGAAAAAAGCAATAGCTGAAAATGACAATAGCGCCATATTTCTTATCATTCCGTATTACATATGTGGTGAAAATTTAAAGAATACCTTTGTAGCAAATGTCTAGAAAATATGTGTTGTAAATGTGAATTGCAAAATACGCAAAAAAATACTTCTTTTTTTTCTCTCCAAGAAATTGTCCATGACCTTCATAGAAGACCTACATTTGTACAATGGTTTGTGTCTGATACAAAAATCTGTTATCTCCAATTTTGAAATTTAAAATATTTTTCCCCTTTTTTTGAAAAATTGGGGATGTTAACAAAAAATGAGACATGCACCATTCTCTTAAACATCCTTTGCACTATTTAACAACAAAATTTAATGAAAATAATTGTATCCACTTATATTACCAATGTCCCAGGGGCATCATGTAAAGTGCCCACCAAAATTCAAATTTCGGTTTCAAATTCCAGGGTCTGCGAAATCAGCTAGAATGATTGGGGAATATCAATTTCGGAGTAAATCGGGTGAACAGTTTATGTGCTAGTGTGTTGCACAGACAGACAGGTATTTTGCTGTCAATTGATTTTTTGGTGTCAAGGACCAACAAAATATGGATTCTGGCTACACCATATGTTTTAGGAATTTCTTTGTTTAGTTAGCAGCTATTTTCGGCTGTATCCCTTGATAAGACAAGGTAGTTATGCCTCGAATTATGAATAATGATGTGATAGGATAATAGCAAGAAGTGAAGTTTTTAGAATGTTTTGAAGTGAAAAAAAAAAACAAAACTTTTTTTGATTGGAGAATTGGCTATTTTAAAAAATATATTAATATTTTACTTTCAACGAGCAAAGAGCTTTTAAAAAATTGTTTGTGGGTTTTGTTCATGAAAGTAATAACTTTATTATACTTTCGTGAACTTTATTATCTGCTACTGCTTACTTACTATCTGCTTGGGATTGTTTTGATCTTACTCCACTAGCCCTGCTCTAGGATTAGGATGGCGTTTGGGATTTTTGGGCATATTACATCTTGAAGTTTTTTCGCAACGCTTGCTGCAGGAATTTAATGCCGAAGTTGTTGTGACCGCTCCCAGTGTAACATATAAAGGTCAGTAGTAGCTGCTGTAACTTATGTACTGTGTTTTTGAGGCTTTTATAGTTTCTTGAAGCATTAGGAAATAATTTCTGCGTGTAAGAATGTCATAATAATATTGAAACTCAGGTTTTGTAGATGAATGATAAACCCAGACCTTAGATTAACCTTTATCAGAAAGTAATTAAAAAGATAAAAGATATCTTTTAATACAAGTAACTTAAAAAATGAGTTTTAAATACACGAACGTAACTGTTAAATTACAGGCACTCTGAAATTTAAAAATAATGTATTTTTCTTTTGCAGCAACTGTTATTGGAGAAAAAAATATAAAGAAATATCGATCATCAGAGATTTCATTTTCAAATCCATCTCAGTTTCCTGATCCTCAAATAGTTTCAGAATATTTTGAACCATTTGTTCTAGGAACTATAATTTCTCCAGGTAAATTTCGTTTGGTTGAAGATTTGTAGAAAAGGAAATTTCTTGATTATTTTCAAAATATTTTGGATTACCTATTACTGAAATAGTTTTGAATAGTCATTACCTACAATATTGTTTATTACAAGAGCATGTTTCAATGGTTTAGCCATGATCGTCAGTTTCCTGCTAGTCTTTTTGTGGCTTCCATACAGCAGCAAACTGATGATGATGATGATGATGATGATGATGATGATGGCTAAGCCATTTAAAGCTGCTCTGGTAATAAATAATATTGTTGGCAATGACAACTCAAAAGTATTTAATTGTAAATGCCAATGAAAACTCACCAAAATTATATATAACTGTTTTTAATACGCACTAGTGTTTTAAGTTTCGTATCCTTCTCATAACATAAGGCAGTATTGAATTGAATTGAATTGAATTGAAACTTTTTGTGGTGAAGAAATGTATTCACCTTATCGAATGATTATAAATTTTGCTGAGGTGAATTTTATTTTCTCAGTGACATTTATCTTCTATGAAATTTTATTACTAGCAGATTCAGCAATATCATTTATCAAAGCACATCAGTATTTTAAAGTGCTTGTGGCATTTCTGGTAAAATTCTCATTTACTCCTTTTGAAATCCAACTTAGTGTGTTAAACATTAAGTCCCAACATTGCGTTTATGCAACATTTAATGTTTATATTTTTTTAGACAAGCGATTCGATATGTTTGTTCTGTTCCACTATCACACTAAGAAGACATGCTATTTGATTGGGTTTTGCTCTTTTCGTTTATTAATATTATTATAACTTATTATTATTATTATATTATTATTATTATTTTTGTTATTGTTATTGTTATTGCCTGTTACAATCCCATAAAGAGCAAGGTTGTCAGGCTGGTTACACAGTGGTAGAATTCCTAAACATCCAATTTGGGTACTTCTTTATAGATGCTATTTACACACTAAAATAAGGAAATGTAAACACTATTTACACACAAAATAAGTAACATTTCACTTTGCCACTGTGAAATTTAATACTTTTCACTTGATTTCACAATTTACATCTAATTAGCAAACACTTTCATCATACTACTTTTTGCATTAGCATTTAATTGAGTTAATGACAAAGTTATATTTATATCCGAGTGTAAATTTGGCTTCGTTGGATTTTGAAACATGGAGATAATGTAGTGAATTGTGCTACAGATATTCAATGTTTAATGTTAATTCAATGTTTATTTATTAAACAATACTTCGTTTTACTCTATATTACTAGACGAACTGGCTTGAACCTTCTTTTATCATTTCAGAATATTTATTATGTAGATAGGTCCTTCCATAGCTTATTATTGATAATTTACAATAATGTTGCGTTAACGCAACATTGGGATTAGTGGGGTATATGGCCTGAACATGATAGAACAAATGCAATTTGAATGTATTGTTGTACATTGACTATTGGTTTAAGAAATTATAAATGAGTTTCTTATCCTTTCATAGTGTAATATTAGAGTAAATACATACTATTATTAAAAATATATTGTTTCCATGCATCATCAACATTTCTTATTGGGTTAAACTTGTTAATAACATTTTTAGCTGTTCATGCATTTGCTGTTGCCGCACCAATTTTCAGTACGTTGTATTTTCAAGATTCTTTGAGATACTCAAGGTTCCCAGAGGGACTCAGAGGCAGAAAGACATATTCTGTTGTCTTCCCCTTCTTCCTACTTTGTGTTTGAATGTTAAGTTGTGTTTCCACACATTTTTTTGAATTTGATGGGCTAAAGACACTAGTTACTTTCTCGCATAATAAATAGTATGGAGAAAATATTGTAATGATGTGGCAATGTTTTATTTATATTTATTTTTTACCTCCTGTGGAACAAAACTTTGCCTTGTGAGTCCATAGCACCAAAAAGCGTATACTTTTTGTACCTCTAACACATGTAGTTAGAATCAATAGAATCCAGATTTTGGTGGTCTTTGATACTGAAATATTGGTTTATGCCAAAATGACTGGTTAACCCTAGCACCTAAATCATTATATTTTCTCCAAAACTGATATTCCATGAACAATTTGTCTGAACTCAAAGCACTGCAAATTTGATACTCTGATTTTTGGAGATACTTTACATGAAACCTCAAAATTTTCTTCACAGTGGTTACAAGTTTTTGGTTAAGATTTTTTTGTCAAATAGAATGAAGGATGTTTAATAAATAGTGCCTCTCATTTTTGTCAAACATTCAAAATTTCTAAAATTGTAAAAGTTCAACATTTTTTGGTATCTTTCTAAAATTACAATACTGAAGATAGAATTTTCATCCTTTATAAAATCTGTTCCAAAAAATTTTTTTAGTAATGTGATGTACAAAGGTTTAAAAATATGAATTTTTTTCATGTAATTTTTGCTTGAAGAAAAGGTTCATTTAAAAAAATTTCAAAATCTGTTCAAAATATTTTCCTTACGATTTTCTCCATAGCCTTTGTTATAATCATTTACAGAGATAGTGCTTTGTTTTCATAAAATCATGAAGACTAGTGATGAAACAAATTGTAACTCCTTATGTAAATATTTTTCAACTATCATAACAAAATGTTTATATTTCTTAGCAAATTCCTTTCTTACATGATCTTGAATTGTAAGTGTCCATTCTTTCAACTGTTTGGGAGGTATTGAGAACAAGCGAAGTGTTATCGACATTAATTTTGTACACAAATTTCACTAATGTAATGTAATATAAAGTACAACAATTTTCACAGATAAGTATTTGGGACCAATTATGCAACTGTGCATGGATCGAAGAGGAATTCAAAAATCAATGCAAAATATTGATAACCACACCGTCATGATGCAATTCATTCTTCCATTGAATGAAATTGTAATAGATTTCCATGACACTTTGAAATCTGTGTCTTCAGGATATGCAAGTTTTGATTACGAAGAATATGGATATTTTGAATCAAAACTAGTTAAGGTAAAGGAATTATTAAATACTTTTTTTTTTTATGGTTCTATGTGGCTCTTTAAAACTTGTAAAATTTAGAGAATTTTATCACAGTTAAAATACAAGTCTTTTGCAGCTAGTAATTTTGCTGAATGGTATACCTGTTGATGAACTGAGTGCTGTTGTGCATACATCTAAAGCATCAATTGTAGGACACAAAATATGTGCGAAGCTGAAAGAACTGATTCCACGCCAGATGGTTTTGGTAAATATTTGTACATTGATCTGTATAAGAATGTTTGGGTAATTTGTAGCTTGCTCTCATTTACAGAAAATGTTTTTGGAATGATTGATGAAAAGAATATTGTTTGATATTTCTTAAATTTTTTTTGAGTGATTAAATATCAATAACTAACGATTGTTTAGCAGAATGAACTTTCCTGTATTATTGGTGTTACCAAATTCAACTGAGAAAATTCGATTCCACTAACACCTGAAAAGCTCAAACAATATATTACATAATTATGCGAAAAATACTAATATTTTGAAGAGAAAAAAAAAGAACATAAATTGATTTAATCATAAAAAGCCAGGTTTATAACAAACACCACCACTTGGTCTCCTGTATCTCAAAATTACATGAAAATTAATAATGTGTGGAAAAATAGTACGTGAAATTATTTAAAGATCATAATTTGAAGAATATAGTGTATTCTTATGATATAAACACCATATTGCTTTATTCTTGTTTATCAAAAATTACAAAACTATAATTACCTCACATTTCTTTTACATTGTTTATTTTTACATTAGCATTGATGTGTTCACCCTACTGTATTTATGAGTACATGTGCTTTGAATAATGTCAGATAAAGTTTCTTGAAGATAGTTTTCTGAAAATGAACGTTTCCATTTTCTTGAAAACAGCTCCAATTTTTTTTTTCTAATGAAAATTGCCATTTATGATGAGGTTTTACTCTTCTTTAATATTCATAAAGTAATATTTCGATTCTACTCTTAGGAAACTGAAAAATTGAAAAATGTCAAAAAATTTACTTTGGGTGGCGATAGATGGCAGCTGGCAAGTGAATGTGGCAAGTTAGAAAATAATACGAGAAAATATGCGCCATTTTGTAGTTTACATGTTTTACACATAAGGGAGAAAAGTCAAGAAATATTTGGATCTGTTTTTGAGAAAATAAATGTTCAAAATTGCAAAATGACTCAATTTATATTTTTGAAAAATTTTACTTAAGATCTGCATTTGAACCACTGATTTTATTATGTGAAAAATAGTGTTCTTCAATATTGTAACTGTAGGATGGCACTGAAAAAAAAATTGAACGTTAGTGTCATTCTTGTGTGTTCTGTGCACTTTCTGAGAAAAATGTTTAATTAAAAAAAATTGCAGCTATTTCTGAGAAAGTTTTGAAAATGCAAAAAGGCGATTTTTACCTAGAAAAAAGTTTTTGACACCAAAAAAATTATTTGTTTCTGTTTGTAGAAAATTCAGTGTTTCTGCAAGATGGGAAATCCAATGTCATAGTTCGTAATCAGTCGTCAATAGGAATATCTTTAAAAAAATGAGATTTTGCAAGTTGCACAATCAAAAATGCTTAAAATTATGTTCTAGTTGGAAGAGAAAACCTGTAACAGTACATACAAGCTTTTATTGAACATCTGTGTATCCTTTGACTATTTTTCGTTTTGTAATAATTATGAGGTAGTAATACTACATTTAATGAAATCTGATTGTATCATAAAAATATGTATAGTACGATTTATGTAGTCGTGCACATGACACATATATTAGTAAATGTATGGCAATTACATTGCCCTGTAGATAAAAAACTAACTTTTCATGACGCGGCCTCAATATGCACATAACTCCCAAATCATAAGCAAATATGTTAGTTTATTCCTGACATATTTGAATGCTCATGAGTAAAAATTAACCATAAAGTTCCTGCTATGTATTGGTATTATGGATATTATATTTTTTCATTATTTCCATGCTTATTGTGTTTTGGGTTTAATTCGTTTTTAGTGGTGGCGGCGAAAACTATTAAAATATAAGCTATGAAGACATTTTGTCATAGACGACAAAACAGCCTTTTTGGCAGGAACCAAATTGAAATCTTGTAATTGGATACTGGTGCATTTGCAGAAGAATTCTCTCCAGAATGTGTTGTGTCTTTCAAATTCACAACTTGCAAGAACTATCTAATTTGTCTCTTACAAAACGTTGGGCAATCAGAATCTGTTTTGTGGCTGGAGGCTTTTGGTCTCTAAAGTTTAGTAAATTAAAGGTCTTGGGATCACAAATGTCCATTACCATTAGAAATTATTAATCAGTTACATATATTATAAAATATAATGTCTCGTTTAAGCCAAATAATTCTCTTATTTTTTTAAGGTAACTCTTTTATATCCAGAAACCCTGGTCATGACATAAATATGAACTTTGCATTTTTTGTTAAAGATTGCTATTCAGGCTGCAGTCGGAGGGAAAATTGTTGCTAGAGAAACTCTAAAACCATATCGCAAAGACGTCACCGCAAAACTGGTAAGTTTTTTGCTGGCACTAATTTTACATTAGTTGACAATGTAGTAAGTTGAGTTACTCCATTGTTGAAATATTTTTACAAATAATAAGCATTCTGTATCGTGTTTCAACAAAGCAAAAAAAAGAAAGAAATTGGTGATGTGCCAAATAATGAGCAAACCTCACTTGTATCACTTTTGGTATCTATCAAATCATCCCTACACAGTGAATCTCAGTATAAAGTACATCATAAAATCATTTTATTATTTATACCTTATACTGAAAAATACTTTATATTGAAAACAGAGAGAAACACTAATTTATTTTTTTAAATAGTTTGCCAATAAACAAAAATAATGGAAAAAAGTACATAAAGTATCACTCATTAAAATATTCTCTGGTAGAAATTTATTTTGTCTTTTTGGGAAAATAGCTTTCCACAAACTGTTCTATTACAAATTATGATTTGAGAACTGTCTCTGGAAGGTTTATATTTTTCTGAACATACACTTAACTTCTCTTCTAAGACATTTCACTGCCGTTGTTGAAGATTCTGCTTCAATAATTTCTTCTTCTGTTTTCTCCTCCTCTTCGTTATTTTGATGTAGTCGAAGATTTGACAATATCACTCTCTGTATGGCAGTAATTTGTTTCAGTCCCAGTATCAGTATTGACATAATCATCAAATGTAACCGTTGGTGGAAGTTCTAACTCCTATATTTTTACTATGTAATACTGGAATAGGTTCGAGGAAAGAGTTTGTAAAAGTGAAATATCTTAACATTATATCATAGGACATTTAAACAGGGATTTCAAATACGTTCATAAAACTAAAATGTATATAACACTGAAGTACTTTATACTGAGATTTCACTGTATAACACAGTCTAAAATGCTATGTGCCAAAAGCCGCGATTTCATGACACTTCTTTTGCATATGCCTGGACTGCTTCAGTCTCATTTTGAGCTCCTCAGCAATCAGAAATGTGCAACGCTGGACCTAGTATTTTAAAGTGAATACATTCTGAGTGCAAGTTAGAATAATATGGTATTCTGCAGCGACATTGAATGTCTTGTTTCGCATGTTGATATAATGCTTTAAGTTTATAGGGATGTTTTAGTATTTTTGCCATTTAGTCTTATTTTTGCCTTTTTTGTACTTTTTCCTCATTATTTTGCTTTTAATTTTCTCTCGGCACCAATCGGGATTAAGTTGGATACGTACCAGCAACACTGAACTACATGAAAGCACAGAGGCGTTTTGTCTTTCTGTGGAAGCATAGGCTGTGTTAAAAAGCTGAATGAAAAAGGAAGATGATGCAAGTCAAAATTTCAGAAGTCCTATTTTATTTTTGAACTCAGCTCTCTTTATATGATATACCCTTCTCAGTGGTTGTAATTACGCAAGTGCGAAAAATGAAAAATATAATTTCATTTTCACTAATAACATTTAAAGATTCAAAAGGGAGATCACAATAGCATTTTGAAAGGACTGCATTGTGAGTAAAAGAAAGTTGAGCTGCCATAAAGGGTGGACATATGGAATCAAGATTGCAAAGGAGAGAGGTTAAGTATTATGTAAATTTTAGAATTTGAATAAAAAAATAATCATTTCATTTATTATTTTTTTAGAATTCCTTTTTTTATGCCTTGCTGCACCTCTACTTTAGGTAGAATAAATGTCCTTTGCAATGCCTATTTCAGTAAAAATAAATGAACTTTTGGGCTCCATTCATAACTAAACTCTGATGGTGACAGCCCCACCCACATTATTACCATAAACCCAACTGTGGTATGTTAATTATCATTTTAAATGCCAATGTATCCTCAAGTCTGTGGACTCCCCCTGTGATCAGGCATGTGTTACAAACGAATTGTTGTAATATCAATTCAATCACCGTAGTATATGCAATGCATCAGAGCATTAGGTTGGATTTTGTGACTAAATTAATTTACTGTTTCATTTTGTAACGTATTTGTGCTTTTCTTTTGCAAGAGGTATATTTTATGTTAACTTATATTTATTAAAATTTTCCTGTGTTTACATCGTGTGTTTGTCTATATAGTATCTTATCTCATTACATTATAATTTTCATGCTCATTAGGACCTTCAAGGTGAGGTTGTAGAGTTTCATAATCTGTTCAGAGTCGTTTACCTCACAAATTGTCCATCAACCTATCATTGCATGATATGATCTGCTCTGCACATACAATAACCTTGACTCATGCAATACATTTCTAACACATTTTCGTGTTAAAAATAAATACGATAATAGGCTAAATAAAAATAATATTCAAAGATCCCTGGATGAAACAAACATGACCTCCTCATGAGGTCAAAAAATCTTTAGAATATTCACTTCTAAAACTTAACTGGAATCGTTCTATATTTGAAAATAAAAAAATGAAAAGATCATACCAGACATGAATACAACCGATGAAGATGCAACCTAAGAAGTTACCACTTATACCATAGTGTCTATTGTACGAAGAAATACTAAATGCCAATGACATGTTTTGCTTTTTCAACCACAAGTTAATAAGATCTTAAATCCTTGGTTTCCATCCCATAATAATATTAATAATTATTATTATTAAAAACCTTTTGATAGCAACAGGGTCGTAAGTACTTAATGAATCAATTGTGCGGATTTCTGTGAACGATTCCTAGATGTCCACCACAGAAAATAACCAGAAGACAATAGTTGATCCCTTCGTGGAATCTGATGTATGATTGGCGGCAGTGTCAACGATTGGCAGGGGCAAACCGAACGTTCGCCCGCAAATTAAGGGTCCCGAATAATGAGAAGGGTAGGAAAATAATGTAAAAAATTGAAAAAGAATTTACTACTCAAGAAAATCGTTATCGTATTTTTATAAGTCATAAAATATTCAATTAAATTCATACCTTAAATAATTTATTACAGTGATTACTTATAAGAAGGGGCGGATTTTAATGAAAAGTCATATTTCTTTTCACTTTAGAACAATGCCATTTATCTTAACATTAAATTAATTTCTAAGACAAAACGAAATGACTTATTTTTATGTCATCTTTTTGCATTGTTCGTCGATTCTAACAAGACTTTTTTCTTTGTACGTCATTTTTAATGCATATTTCGCTGATTTCATCGATTTTAATATCATTTTAAAGGCCCATTCACAATGCAAACATTAGCATAAGCGTGGCGCTAACTTAAATGTTAGGACTACGTCTATTAGCGGACTCATTCACAATGCGTTCGCATAAGCATAACACATGAGACGTTAACTTGTAAGCTCCCAAGCTTCTGTGCTTATGCTTTCCCAGAAAGGTACTTGGGCCCTGGAACGACAAGGCGCGCTGCTGGAATGTGTGCGTCTAGTGGAGGGCTCTTGCCGGTGCATCTCCACCCTGACGGAGACCTAGAGAGAGCTTCGGAGGGGTCATCCATTCTCCCTCTTGGTCTTTAACTTGGCAATGGACCAGCTGCTCCGGCGTCTAGAAAATCGACCTGGGCTCGAAGTAGTTGGCCAAGATCTTAGCGTCCGGGCCTTCGCCGACGACCTCATGACTCGCAGCTCAAGAAAAACTGTAACACAACAGTACCTGGAAGCGGTGGGGATGGGGGTAATGGCTTCTGTCGCCTTCAAAATTCAAGCCAGCTATAGAACCTGGATAATACACGAATATTTGCCTGGACATGGCTTCGACGCCTGCAACCTGCCGGCGAGAGTAGACGGGGTGCTGGGAAGGATCCAAGAAACTGGGCCTGTGACAGACCTACATCCAGCCGCACTTCCTTCACCAGCTGGTGCCCACGATTCCGTCGCGGGCGGCATTGGAGATACTGGACACTGCCGTACGCCCTGCGTTCAAGAGCATCCTCAGGTTTCCACGGGTCATCGCCGACAGCGTGGGACTCCAGCGACCTGTGCAGGTGTTGCCTCGGGCAGTGAGTTCTAATGAACACTTGAGACCAAACTGTGCTGAGAAATCGTGATGGTCCGTCATGAAGGTGAACTACCCTCTTTGTCCCAGATCAGCTTTATTCTCACCGAGGCCAATGTGCGAAATAACAGGATAGGTTTGGGGCTTTTTCCGTAACATACAGAGCGGACAATAAACCCTTTGCCGATCATAAACACTGGATGGAGAGAAATCATCTTTGGTAGATAAAACTAAAAAGTCAGGACCCTTAAAAATATTGAATGTACTCTTTTCATCAACTATCGACAGCTAATTAAGTGATTGAGATTAAAGACTTCGGGTATTAACATTCAGTATTATAGA